GTCAAAATTGCAAATCAAAGTTTAGGGTTGTCGGGTCCACAATTTTTGCGAGTGTTTGTATGAAAATTGCTTGATTGAATGCCTGACTGAGTGACTGACAACTGTCCGACAGCAGTGTGGAGACACTCAGAGTGGTTGAAGGCAAGAACGGGCAATTGCCAAATCGACACAATTGTTCCCCATACACACATGCACACTCCCAGCATGAAGCACTTCGAAAAGGGTGCACAAAATGGTCGGTTAATTTGAGGCAATCACAAACCAAATTGAACCTACAGCAAGCTACAGTTACTCTCCCTAATAGTAGGACTGGGACTCGGTAGTGTTTGTGTGCTGGGTTTTGATAGAGAGGCAGTGCTAAAGTTCCAGAATGGATCAACCAATGGTGCGTATTGACCAGACAGAAGTAGGATTTCTGTTCATGGGCAATGGCCTGAGCAGTCCAAGGGAGATTTGGAATGGTCACTGTTTATGTAAATGTATTGGGGCTTACCAAAACAACAAAATGCTGAGAAACGAGCAAGCGGCACCCACTAGTCAGCAGAATATGGAAGGAGAGAATACAATATTGAGAATGCTTTAACGAACAGAAAATCTTGTGAAAAGAAAAACTTAAGTCACTAGTATCCAACAAATTCTGGTTCTGGTACTGGTTCACATCGCAAACTGTATCAATCGATTTTTATTATACCGATTCCCCTGGCAACAGCTGCTATATATATCTATATCTATTGACAATTTCATCCGGCCAGTATTTTCATTGATAGCAGCTTCTTCAATGCCTCTATCTTATAATTTGAAATTGTTTTGAAAAATGTTATCTTAAATGTTGAATTGAATTGTTGACCATTTGCCGCAGTATTGTAAACTATTTCTATTGCTCCGAGCGAAGTTATTTTGAACGAAGATCCAACATGATAACAAAAATGTTCGTGTGAGCATCTCGCAATTTCGTGAACATCAATCACAAGAGACCCGAGCTGAATGAAATAAAAAACAACAATTGGAACTGAGACAAACGTCTGGTTTGTTCCACTTTTATTAACATGCTGCGTCTTTCAGGTAGAATAAAAAGTAAACAGTGTGAGGTATCATTCTGTTTTTGGTATCTATTACTAGGTGCATTAATTTTTATCACTATTCAATAAAAAACTGGTCCGTTGCACAGACAGTTATAGCGAAAAACGTATTTTCCAAACTATCTAGTTTATGGGTTGTTTTTCAACTTTGACTTAAATTTCAAAAAAGTTTTTGTATTCCCGAAATTTTTTTTATACGTTCTCTTTGCATAATCCTTAACCTATGTTTAAAATCCCTATCTGCAGTTTTGCGTTATTTGTCTTCTACATCGATAACAGTGACGCTACCTCGCACGAAAAACGGCCAAAAATGGGCTGTCCCAGCTCTAATTCCCATACAAAATCCAAATTTCGCATTCGTATACGAGCCAGATATTGAATATTCGAAAGTGCACTTTGGTGCCATGAACAAAAAATGTCCCATGCGCTTAAATTCAAACATGATTCAACTATATGATGCTCTCATGCTCTAAGATTGCGGCTCAGATTTGGGCACTCCTTTTTTTTCGCACGGACCATTATACTTACGTGTCATTTTCACGTGTGGGCTTTTATATGTTAGCTCAAACAGGAGTGATCAAAAATATTGTACGCTCCATTGCTTGATATTGATAATTTATAGGGAACAACAGCGTTTGGCAGGTCAGCTCGTACACTTGTACATATGTGTATTTTTGAAGAGCTGATAAATCCTTATAACAGAAAAACACATGCTGTGATTCTGACCCAAACTAACCAAATGAATGACGTTAATATCGTAAGCAAGGCTGTATCGACATCTAAGCATACAGCTTATCCGATGCATAAATAAGCAGAAAGTTAAAAATAGATCAGGAACGAGGTTTACCTGGAAGCTTGCCAAAGAAGGGCATTATAGTATAATTAGATGCATGCAATAAATGTGTTTTACGTGTGCTTCCGTTAGCCGCAATTCCGTGTCATGACATCACGCAGCTGTGACTGGGGAGAGTCGTACATTTTCGCCAACCGCAATGTACTGTGTATATGCATATCCCGCTTGCGAGGAGGGATAAAATACTCCCTCCCTGCGGCTTTTATGTCTGGCTTTGAGAAGAAGTAAATTTCCCCACAGATCTTATCTTTCAATATCGAAACAAATATCCTACAAAGCCCTGCAAAGCAGCCACCACATATGGCTTCCTCGAAGCACTAAAACGAAGACGAACAGCGGCCCCGCGGGCCCCCCCCGCCCACCCCCCAACCGGCGACAGCAAGGAGGCCGACCGTAACACCCCACGACCACCCAAGGGCCCGAAAGTCAAAGTTTAGGGAAAGAACTACCCTAGCGCGCGAGTAATTGTGTCGCATGGGAAAGCCAGGCCTAATCCAGACCGGGACCCGTAGCCCTTGGCCACTTTTGCTGCTGCCACTTAAAAATCCACTTAATGCCGCCGTCTTATGAAAATAACAAAAAGCTGGAAAAGAGGAAGAGGGAGCTTATAGACCATGGGCCAGTGGAACAGCGGAACAGCTAAAAGTTTCGCCCCTCGCTCTGACGTATTCAAACTGCAAGTCGATTGTTATTTTTATGCCAGCGGCGGAAATAGACATCCTGCCCGGCCCTTCCTCGTCCTACGAACGGAAAAACTTTAACACAACTTGAGTCGAAAGCGGGACGGAACATGGGGAGACATGAAAATGGGGAAGTCAATGTCGACCGAAGGAGTACATTTTGTGAGGCAGTTGGTAAAAGTTTTTCTGTGCGCGGAGATGTTAAGACCTTGTCAGGCGGACAGGGCGGAAATCCAGGGCGTAGATCCAGGTACGGCCATGGGCTGGAGAGTGGTGCCCCATTATTGAAAGTGCCCGTTGAGTAATTTAAAAGTTTGGCTCCAAGTCTTAACTTGTAGACACCCGTAGAAGGGGCATATGTATTGAGGTCAAATTGATTCTTTATATAAGTAATAAGAAATCAGCATTGTTTCCTGACTTTAAGTCATGTATTTCATAATCCCGGGCCTGGGAAATGTACAAAAATTCTTTACAATTCGGGAAAGCTTACCCTGAACTTTGTTGTTATAAAAGGCCTAGCGAACCGGCGCATGCTGCCAAAAATAGAAGGCCTGCTCGGCCCACTCCAAATTTGATTACCCCAAACAAGATTAGTGTTTTGGGCCAACGGAATCCAATTTTATTACCGAACGCATTAAATATTCTCGCGTCATTGCGTTATTCCCCAAACAAGGAAAGGAATTTGTGGTGCGTGTAGGGGGTTGAAGGAAGGTCTGACTATTGGGATTTTTTTCACAATTTGGTCACGCGCCAGGATCATTTCTTTTACATTACCCTGCATGATGCCTTTTGACTGCTGTCCGCCTGCCTGCCTGCCTACCTTTCTAATTAATTTCTCCGTTTCAAAGCATGCTCGTCAGAGCTGTCCCGGTAACACTAATGTCCATGCAAATCAAAATAGCAACACGCTGACTTCCGTTTTGGACGCTCGCCCTTGTATCCTTCCAGTTACCGTCAGTCTAAATTTTAGACTCTAAAACTTTCCCTACTAATGCTTATTCTTTCTGCACATTTGTCGCATGCGTTAATTTATGTTTTCTTAGTTTCAGTTTTCAACTTTTGTACTTAATTAGCATAATGAGAATGTGCTGTTGTCGTTGCTACTGTTGTTTTCCTTCTATAACACTTGAAACTACTACAAGAGGAGTGCACGAGTATTTAGTTAGTTTGTTGACTTTTCGAGTGCCTGCCAGCTTTTGCACACTTGCAGCCCAACTTTGATCAAACATTGAAAATTTCAACGTTTAAATAATACTTTAAACCGCAATTGAAGCCATAAAAACCAGCTGCGGAGTGAACCTTATTTATGAAACATTAATTATTCTAATTAATTTCGTTTTTTATTTAAGGTGGACAAAAGAGCTTGACGGTTTTTCAAAAACAGGTGAATAGAGATTTTATCAGTGTGCTTGCATATTATTTAGAGTTCGTTGTACTCTCTCCTGTCTCATTCTGTCTCAGACAAATTCAGATTTTGCTTAGGAGGGAATAGAAAAGAATACCAAAGCCTGACCATTTAAACACCTGAAAATCCAAAATCTTTTGCCATTTACAATTAAGGAGATTCTGGAACTTAAGCAGAATCATCAATAATTATGTAACTACTCCATTCTCAATAGTTGCGATCAACTTCCCCAGTTTCACCGGTTTCAGTGTCTGTCATCCTCTCACTCTCTCTCCTTGTGTGGCTTAATAGTTAAGGGGTTAGTTTTTGCGTGCAGTTTGTACTTTCTACTCCCTCAATCACTCAATCGAAATGAGATTCGTAGGCGTAAAGTACTCTACTCCCATTCCTGCCATCCTACAATTAATTAGTCTTATTGTGATGGAAAGAGATCATCAATGAGTGCTTTGACCTTTTACCCTTTGACCCTTTTTACTTCATACGTACATATATGTACATTCATATTTAAAAAAAAAAAAATTTAATTGTGTGAGTTGCAAACCTTTTGGATTTTAACTACTTAATTTTGTATTATCTGTCTTAGTTCTAAACTTTCATGGTTTGAACTGCTTTCCGTTTATTTGATTGTTTCAAAATGTATTTAATTATTCGGCGATGTTTCTGCGACGAGCTTCTACAGACGAATCATCCCGGTTCCCCTCTTCTTCCTCTTACTTGAGCTATGCGATATTTTTATGTGACTTAGCCGATGACCAATTGCATTTTAGAGCAACGCCTAATATTTTTGTCTCTCTCCCGTACACCATTGGGTCCCACAATTATATACAATAAAATAAATTTAGATAAATGGCGGTCTATCATCGGTTTTTTATGATTTCTATTAAAGTACGAGAAAAATAAACTCGGCTTACGAGCCCATACTAGTTAGTGTTTACCAAAACTATTTTTTATAGATTCAGTATCAAAAAAACATAAGATCGAATATCTAGGAACATACAATACACACATATTCGTAGAGCAATACACACTCGTCTTGTGGTTGAGTTTCGTCCACAGCTTCTGACGAGATTCTGTGATAACTTAAGCCTTTTGCAGTTGCATGATGAGGCGCATTCAAAACTTCATATCGCTCATTGAAAGTTTAGAGGAGAACTGAATAGGACCGAATGCACCCATCCACATATTCAATTAGAGTTACAACTTCAGAACTTCAACAGCAATTTGTGTGTGCGGGTACTAGGGACTCCTTTTTGGGGCCTTGGCAAAAGATTTCATTAATATTAAAAGAGAGGGAATTCTTTTTATGGCCACAAAAACTAAATGAAACGCTTGTCAGTGCTACAAGAACATACATATATACATATAGAGTACGAGTATACACAGAGGGAAAAGTTGGCAAAAGTTTCCAGCTCCCCCACCAATCCTAGGCAGAAGTCGAACGCAGCCAGCTGTGCAATTTGCTGGCTAAACTCAACAATTTGTGTCTCAAAAGCATAAGGAGACCAGCAAAGTTAAGGGAGCTCCTGCTGGGAAGCGAGTGAAGGGTTCCTGGACCGGAAACTTTTGGCCAAGTGCGGTGTTATTGTGGGAGGGGGTTGATTGACTACTGCAGCTCCTCTCTATTGGTAGCGACCATTATCACTGACTGGTTTAGTTGCGTATTTCCCCGTCCTCCAGTTCGCTCTCGTCATCACTTCCGGTAAGATCAATTGTAGGAGGTCCCATGCGCCTCCTTTTCAAATGTCGATTGTGTATTGATAGCCAGGATTGCGGCTGATTCCTTTCTGTCATAGGCAGAGGCATCATGATTGGTTTTGGAAACGGTTTTGGATTTGCTTTGGATTTCCGTACTGCCTGCGCCTCTGGTGCCTCTGGCGCCTCCACCCAGTCATACACTCCATTGCGCTTAGGCATCCAGAAAGAAACGCGTTGATTGCTGCTGACAAACATCGTGGCCTTGGGATTGAAGCGCAGGCAGCGCACCGGACCCACATTTCTGCCTCTCAACAAAGCTGCTACCTTTCCGCTTGAAGCTCGCCAGACGTAGACCTGGCCGTGATCGTCTCCCGACAGTACGAACTGTGAATCTGGAGTAAAGGCTGCCTTCAGCGGCAGACACTGCTCATTGCAATACCCAGAGAAAGATTGGTGTAAGCACCCGGTCAAGGCGTCCAAACTAAAGAACCGTGAACGATTCGTGCTAAGCAACAGTGTCTTCCCATCGGGCGAAAACTGCAGCTGGGTCCAATCCGCCCCGTCGTTATTATTGTACTCAAACTTCAAACGAGGCTTTTCACCTAGCTTCCGCACATCGTGGATGTCGACACGCATCGATTTTGAAGTTGTGGCAAAGGTCATGCCGGTCGGATCGTAGTCACACAGCGGACTGAGAAGCTTCTTCAGATGATATGTGTGGGTGGGGACACGGAAGTCCCACATGTAGACCTGATCATCCCGTCCAGCACTGATGAAGATATTGCTATTTGCCGGCTGAGTGCTCAGTATATGGGCACCCTTGGAATGGCCACAAAACTGGCGAACGACACTGCGTATATTCAAATCCTGGCAGTAGATGGAATAGTTCGTCTGTGGGAAAACAGGGCAAAGCCATTAAGCAGCCATAAGTTTGGGAAAATTAGACTGATTATCCTGATTGATTAATCCTCAACAGCTTTCACGGTATAGCCTTATTTTTATTTGTTTTTTAAATAAGGACAATGGCATTGTCCTGTCAATGTCAACTATACGCACAGCTGTCGTCCGAATGTTAAGTCTTTCGGTGTATTATTCCATTATTGTTTCCATCCACTCACCTTGGAAGAGCCATGCAGAACGCGGTTTTCCGGCTGGGCAAAGCAGGCCACCTCGGGACTGTAGTGATGCATGTGCACCTGGCAGAGCACGGACTGACGGCTGCTGCTGATGAGGGTCAGGGTCGAGGGGTCGCAGACAAGCAAGCGACGTCCATCGGCGGAGAAGTCCAAAGAGCTCTTGCGCATATTGGTCCCATCCTGTATTTTGGCCAACGTGAATTGGCGCATGGCCTCGTCATTCAGTCTCATAGACATACTTAGCATTAACTGGATGAGTTTTTCTCTGTTTCCTAGTGACTTTTTCAGTCAAATGTGACATTAAAGGCACAGCCAATTGGCTTCGTTCCTTGACTTTCATTAAAACGGAAGTGAAAGATTTGAGTTTTCTGCTTCCCCAACTTAATTAAATCAAATGTTCAACCGAAGGCTCCGCCCAAAAAATGCACAGAGACGGGCACTGCTCTGAAGAGCGGCGACCAGCGGGGCTTGCATTTTAATTTCCATTTCGGGACCATGTCCCAGGACCCGTTCTTCCTCTTCATTGCGTCTCATTAGTAGACAGCTGGTCTGAAATGGTGGTGGGTGGGGATTCATGGTGGAGGCCGAAGAATTAAACCGACTGCTGAGTTGGCAACGCAGTTTGCCCTCTACTCCAATCCCCACTTGTTGACCGAGTGCCAGCAACTTGTTATTTACACCGATTTGCGTCATTAGTGCAGTGACCCCCTCACGCCTAGTCGCCCCGGCTCCAGATTGTGAACAAATGTTTCTTCTGCCGGGGCTAAGGACTTAACTTAAACTGAGTCCGGCAGCAGTTTCCAATGAGAGAAAATTTTTCATAGTAATAATTGATAGAAATACCAGAAGCTGAAAATGAACTTTTTCGTGAATTGGGGCCGACAGTTTTGAATATTATTTCTTGCTGTGAAAAAATCCAGTACCTCATTATCTCACTTTAAATAGTATTGTACATTGTATTATACGTTGTGTTACAGGAACAAAAACAAAAAAAAAAAGGAACCAAGGGAAATCCGTGTGTCATTTTATATTTAATTGTCTTAGAATTATCGGCCATCATTGGCTTATTCCAGTACAACTACATCCAGAAAAAAACCCCTACTTAGATTACTTTTAGATATATGTATATGTTCCTGTCTTCATATTTTTACAATAAATTTCTCCTGGGAAGGTTCCAAATTTCCTATTGAAATGCAAGTTAATGCATCTGTCGAGGTTTCAACACCTGTATTAGAATTAGCCGAGAGATTGTGCCGCTGCCTGACCCTCTCCTTGTCGGGGTGGACCTGGGGCAAATGTAATTGTAATGTAAGCGGAAATAAGCGCCGAGAATACTCGTACACGCAACGCACTCTGCCACAGCTGAGGCTGAGGCTGCTGATGATGATGCTGATGCTGTTTCTGGCGTCGCATTTTAATTAAAATTTATAAGCCTTGGTCGGGGATTTGGCACCGAGCCCAACCCAGCTTCAGCGCCAATGCCAGGACCAGGACCAGGCGTAGCATCTGAGCCAGGAGCAGGAGTCGTACCAAGCAGTCATTGCTGGCGTGGCGTTTTAAGCTTTTAAGTTGCGGTGGATTTGTGAGGCTGTGAATCGGATTTTATGTGAAAATCAACTGCGGTGTGCATAAATTAAAAATCAGGCCGCAACAACAAACAGGAAGCCCCAATAGAGGCTGGGTTTGGGAGTGCTGCCTTTGAGAGCATCATTTGTAATTAATTTGCCGCATTAGCTTGCTGCCTCGTGCCACAGAAATTTGCATTGATCCCAGGTGAAAACAACGAAAAAAGCGGCTTGCAATTTGCGCATTTGCGGCTTTGATTGTCGAATTGAATTATTTGTATTTGAGCAGAAACAATTTCGAATTATTATTATTATCCATTTGAATGGGTTTCGCCATAATTGTTTTCGATCAAATAATATTAATAATATCAATTACGGTTATTGCTTTTGTAAAAAGTAGGCATCAATAAATACCTGACACTGAACCTATGGGATCATTGACATGTTTTCACAAACATTATTAATATTATTTAAAACAATACATACAAAAAAGATTTTTTAAATTTATTTGGAGTATACTCTTCATAAAACGAAGCACCAAAGATGTCAGTATTAAATGAGTTCCAGAGTTAAAGTGTATGTTCGAACTTATTTTATTTACCAAAAATTATTTACCAAGAAAATTATATATGACTGCTAAAAAAAAATTATATGTTAACAGTCAACCTTTCATGAATTCAGGTATCCTTTTCTTTTTTGTCCCTTCTCAAGTGGACTGTACAATGTGCGCAGTTCGGCCTAGCTTAGCAGACATAAACATTTGCTAAAATAAATCAAGACACCACTCGTTAGATAGAATTTTCGTTTCCTTTATGATATGTATTAAGGCAAACCATTTTATATTTTAACATCAGAAATAGCTGCAATATATTCCAGTATACTTTTACGGCTTATACATATACCGTAAATTTATGCGCAGATTTTGGTAAATTTAGTATGAATTAAAAAATTAAAATATAGATTTTTCGAGATGACGCTTGGGACAAATTACCATTTCGTGCACAAATAACAACCAATTATTTAGTTAAATATGATAGATGAATTTTTGAATTTACGTGAAGAAAATCTGTTATCGACCTAACCATTACCACAGGATATAGCCAGTTGAAAGTGATTTCCCCTCTCACCATACTCTAGAGTCTAGATTCAACTGAGTTTAGAGCCACACTCGTAGCGTAATTATTCCCCATTTCGGTTAGCAAGGATCTACTTCCCTCCCTGGCCGTCCGGGTTATCTCTACTCTGCACACAGCCGTAGCCACAAACTGGTGGGCATTAATTGCCACCATTCGATTATCCACGAATCCTATTTCTGCGACAAATACCCATTTGGTGGTGTCTCCTTCACATTCGTCCCTACAGAGCGAGTTCTACATGCAGAGCGGATGGTTGTTTACCGGAGCTCTGTTTATTGATATTTTATGTGCCATTCTGTGCTGCAAATTGCATTATTTGCAATTTTAGACACGTTCCCAGTCCATTTGCATAACACGAATTCGCAGTTTAATTTTTTAAAGCGGTGCTGACAACAACCGAATTCCAATTTTGCGCACATGTTATCGAGCAATGGTCGAAACGGACCCAAAAAGAGATCCAAAAAATCGAACTTACATTTTGTTGGCTGCATACAATTTAATTGTAGCTTGTATGGCGCTCCATGGACGATGAGTCATAACGGAGTCACAGGGGAGTGCATTGCGGGCGCAATGGATTTTTGTTGTTAAGACAAAGTGCAGTTTGTTGTCAAGTTGTGTATGAATGAATATCTTAAAAAAGCATACATTTTACTTTCACATTGGATGACAGAACAGAGGAATGAGGAAAGGTGAATCGCAGAAGGTGCGAGTCCGTTGAAGTGTCAAGTTTATTATGGGCCATGGCAATGACAGTGGCAGGCAAGAAATCACTCGAACTCGGCCAGGATTAAGTGTCAAAATGGCAGTCCAGCTAAAAATGTTTGCAATTTTTCAATCGCTGTGCAAGATTGTGCGTTTGTGTTGGCGGCTGCAGACGGCCCCAAAAAACAATTGCAGTTGAGATGCCGGCCGAAGTAAGTCGAAAACCAAAGCCAAAGTTCAAACACAATTTCTCAACTACGCACAGCCACAGCCACAGTCACACACTCGTACAAATTTGTGTGTGTGAGAATGTCCAGGCGTACACCGAGCGAAAATAAACTACAGTTTATTTAACTTTTCTCTTTGTTCTTATAATGTGTCTAAATATTAAAATAACATTCTTAATTTTTTCTCGCATGTATCAAACGAATATAACTTATAAATAGTAATTAATCTTTATTGCTACAGGATACAGAGCAGAGTGATAAAGTTTGGCGAGAAGGTCAGCGTTCGAAACCCTAATTATCGGATAGGAGTTTTCTCTTTGGTGATCGGCCGAAAACTATAACTATGTTGCTGAGTCGCCCGAATGGATGTGCTAGAAAACTAGCTTGAGGGAGCTATCACAGACCGTTCCCCAGCTGTTTCTGTACTTATTGAATCGTCAGTGACATTATTGCCATGCCCGGTCTCACCTTGGCTGCAAGTGATAAGCCGCTTTCCTATTTTAAAGAGCACTTGAGCAGCATTCTTAGATTTATTATTTTTATATTTTTTGCAGATTATAATTATTAGTAAATCCTATGTACATATTTACCCACTATTATTTCTGCCAGTGGACTGCGTATATAGGCTGTTTATATGTGTGTGTGAATGAGTTCCTCATACGTTGCTCAGCAGCTGCCTTGCACCTCTGGAACTGAATGGTCTCCGGCACGCCCTTTCAAACCGTAAAAGAAGATAAATGACAGAAGTGAGCCATATCAGGCACAGTCAGCAGCCAGCAGCCAGCAGCCAGCGGCTCTAACTGCTTTGCATTTGCCGATGCATGGCAGAGACAGGGTACGGGTAAAACAGGGTACGGAAGTGGAAGGAAGGGCACACTTGGCCGTCTTGAGGCTGCAGACGTCAGCCGTCGTCAGGAATGTCCTTGTCCACTCACCTCTCTCCATCTCTCACTGCTCTTTCCGGTTCTTTGGTCAACTTTGCATTTGATTAAAAGCGGATAGCCGCCCCTGATGAATGGCACATGTGGCATCTTCTGCTCTTGCCACTCTGCTGTTTTCATTATCAAGCAGAGTCGAGGCGTGTACGTTATACGTATACGTACTCTGCCATTTCAATTCCAATTCCCCGCCTCTGCACAGTGCTTCCGTGCCACCTTCACCTTTTGCACATACAATTTAAATGGGAAGAGGCTACAAAAATGTAATTTAATATTCATATGACTGTAAAACGCTACAAAAGTTGCAAAAAATGAAACGGACAGAAAATGCTCGTTAAAAAAAAGCAAATAACTGCGACTGAAATAAAAGAAAAAATGAAATGACTTTGTCGCCAAAGCGAAAGAGAAATACGCTTTCCTACGTTACAGGGACAAATAATTTTTAAAATGTACGCAAACTCCACCTAACTGAAACTGTAGAAATACTCTGAGAGAAACGCCAAAAACAAAAAGCAATATTTATATTAAATTAAAATACAATGAAGGTTAATGTAATTTATTAATGTAGATACCCATGTAGTACTCAATTTTCCTCTGAACATTTTTAATTCCGTTTCCAGAGGTAATATACTTCCATTACCCAGTGAAAAAACCTTCCGTAAGATGTGTCGCACAGAAATATGACACTCAGCCCGACGGTACTAGCTGCAGTGAGTGGAACAGGACCTGGACCTGTCCCCTCTCAGAACGTCAGACAAAAGTAAACACGCTCCGCTCTCGGCTCTGACAGTGGGCATGAAAATTTATTGCTTTTGGCCCACACCCTCAGCCGCAGCCAAAATCGTCCTCCGTCGGCGTCGGCGGAGTCCGACTGCCAGGCGTTGGAGTTCTGAATCCGTGCCGCATTAAATTTTCGAGGCAATGCCATGCAGCTCTGACAAAGTTGGAAATGTTGGACAAAGCCGACTCTACATGCAGGAACAAGAATTACCAAAAAAAATGAGAGTACAACCACAAGAAGCTTCAAAGGAGTTCTTGCTATACGACTCCTGTAAGTCGAAATACATATTTTTAATATGCGCACCTACATCCAAAGAAAAAATCCATGAAATTTTAAATATTATCACTTAGATTTTAATATATGTATATGCCATTCATTTTAATCGAAGGCTGGTTGAATTTAAATTTAACATTTTTGACTTACATATCAATATGTAATGCAATATGAAAATATTTAAATATAATATATTTTATATATCAGTTTAACAGAGTTTTAAGTATTTCATTTTTAAATTAGATATGTTTTATATTTAAAGTAAGTATGTTTCACATTTAAATTTAATATGTTTCATATTTAAATTCAATATTTTTCATATTTAAATTAAATATATTTTATTTTTAAACCAATTAGCTATTATCTTGCCTAAGCGGACTACATTTCATGACCTCATGGTGTGAATTAGTTAGAGTTTTCAACTAGAAATAAGCGCAACCTGAGTAGAACTGTATTGCGGGAGCAGCTTGAACCAGTTGGGAATTCTAGAGACATACAAAATAAATATAAACATAAATAAATATACAAAATTTTTAATTTCATTTAATGTGGAATATTTAATAAAAAAATTAAAACTTTTTCCATTTGATTAAAAAAAAAATTTAAAACAAGTCATAATAATATTCAATTTAATTATGAAACATATTAAACTACAAATTTAATATAGTTATTTTAAAGTGTTTTGTATTATTAGAAAAGCCTTTTTAATACATTTATATTTAAGGTAAATTGAATTCTATTTAATTTTACTATGTTTGTATTTAAAAATCACATATTAAGTTCAAAAATGAGTGTATTATGCCTTTTTTCTAACAGTGTATTTTGTTCAATATGTTTACTTTAGCCATGAACTGTGTCTTTTCTCTTTTCCAATGTAGGAACCTGCTCAAGTACATACATATGTATGTATGTACATATTATGTACATATGAGTCGCAATGAAGCGAAGCTGTCTTTTCTCCTTTTTATACCCATCACTCGAAGAGTTTAGGGATATATTAGATTTGTGGTAAATGTGAAAGTGTGTAACGCAGAGAAGGAACGTTTACGACCCCATAAAGTATATATATTCTTGATCAGCATCAATAGCCGAGTCGATATGCCCATGTCTGTCTGTCTGTCCGTCCGTCTTGATGAATGCCCAGTTCGCTAGAGCAACCACATTTTGTTTCCAGACTCATGTGATATTACACTGTTACAAGTGTATTCCAAAATTTTGAATCGACATTGTAAATGTAGATGTAGATAACAGATGTAGCAAAAAAATTTAAAATATACAATATTTCAAAACTCTACATAAATTTAAGCTCACAAATTTATATACTGACTGAGGACGGATATAAGAGTAGAATCACATCCTCAGTAGCGACTCACAACGTTTCTTTTCATTGGTTTTTTAATTCGGTCTGCCTGTGGCGGCGGTTCTCTTTGTTTCTATAGTGCAATAGTCATAGCTAAAGATCACAAAGAATATATTTTCAGTAAGCATTATTAGGTTTAAACCTTACGAAAATCATTTACCTTCCGGTTCACCAATAAATGTGCACTTTATATGTACATATGTATGTATATATTCTACATTTGGCTATAGCAAGAGCAAGAAAGTCCTACAATAAACCAAACTTTAACAAACAAAAAATTATTTGTTGAGCATTAATTTCGGTTTATTCATCTCTCATTATATGTAAAACACCTTGACGTAAATAGAGCCAAACCACAAAAATCCCCTCAGAAAACAGCGATAAGAAATTCCCAGCTTCCAATATGAGTATATTTAATATAATACGTCAAATATATTCTCAGCTCAGTCTTCTCGGAGCACTTCACTTTTACAGTAGTCATGCTGCACTTCAGAATTTTATTCTCATTTTTAGTGATAAGTATTTTTTCACGATCAAGTGCCGAAAAAGTATGCGAAATGTCGTCGATCTGCGGTAATGCTGCTTCAATAAGATCTCAGATGATTGCTGTGCGGTAAATATAAGGCGCGGATCGCTTGAAAAATTCTTTATCTTATGCAATCCATCCACAGAGTGGAGCAGGAGCGTCATGGAGAGTTGTTGGAAGATCTGACACAGAAACTGGACACTTGCCTGTCCAAAACAGGGGTGGAGACAAAGCTGTACGGGAAAAGTTGCGCCGAACCCTCGATCTTAACGCAGCACAGCGAAATCAATGTAATTGTGGTGCCTGAGTACAGTAAACACCCGTTTGTGGTGGCCTGTGAGCAGCTGTCTCATGGAGGTGGTTGGACCATCTTCTTGAGGCGTACTGACGGAAGTGAGAACTTCTACCGGGAATGGAATGACTACAAGAACGGTTTTGGCAAGTTAGAAAATGAGTTCTTCCTAGGCCTCGATAAACTGCACGCTATGTGCTCAGCTCAGGCCCAGGAACTCCTCGTTCTCTTGGAGGACAATGAGGGCGAGCGGCGATACCAGATGTACGACAACTTTAAAATCGGCTCAGAGGAAGATGGATATACCCTGGAATCGCTAGGAAATACCTCTGGGAATGCTGGCGATGCCCTTGCCACCCATCTGGGCCAAAAGTTCACCACTCGGGATCGCGATAATGACAAACATGCCGCGAGTAACTGCGCGGTCACTTACTCCAGTGCATGGTGGTACAATGCGTGTCATCACAGGTAATAATACTTACATGTCTTCCAAAATAGCAGCATACATATTCAGTTTTTCGTTTTCATTAATTTCTTAGCAATTTGGCTGGCAAATATGGCGATAACACCCACGGAAAAGGCATCAACTGGTATCAGTTTAAGGGTCATACTTACTCGCTGAAGCGTGCTCAGATGATGATAAGGCCGAGAAGGCAATGCATTTGAAGCTTACGAGTAATTGTAATGTCTTACTCAAATAAAAATATCTATTTAATGATTTATTTATTTTTATTCAGTCACACAAAATTTGCCATTATTTTCGCTACCTTGCGATACTTTTAAACTTACGTAAAGAAATATTCAAAGAGCATGTAAAACAACAAAATCTCGCGAAAATTCAGGGATATATTTTTTAAATCCGTACTCCTAGAGTTAAAGGGTATTGTATTTGTGGTTAAAAAGGATGTGTGCAACGCAGAGAAGGAAACTTTTCCAATAACTTGATCAGTTATTTAAATTCAAAGTTGCGCGGTAGATCACAGAAAATAGTTGTTTTTTTTATTTTTGAGTGTCAAATGTGCTATTATGTACATGCCACCAGAGATACACAAATTCTTACTTGACTGTACTGAAATTATTTCCAACGCTTTGTTACCAATTGGCCAACTCTCAGAAGAAGCTCAAGAAGCTGGGAACAATGATTTCAAAAAGAGAGTGTTATTCGAGAAAAATGGATAGAATAAAGAGCAACCAAGATATTTGAATATATTTTTAATAAGCTCTGATCAAATAATATATTGCAAACGGAAGTTGCCGAAAAAAATGTTCACACATTTCAAAAGCTTTTAAAAGCTTCAAAAATGAATGACAGTGACAACCAAAGTAAAGAAAGCGAAAATGTATCTGATTAACCTATGTATTATTAAATTTTTTTTTATATCAGTACACAAAAAAGAGTTAAGGGGTATATTAAATTTGTGTTAAATGTGAATGTGTGTCTGTCCGTCCGTCCGACCGTCTTGTTGAGCGCCTGGATCTCAGAGACTATAAGAGCTAGGGCAACCAAATTTGGTTTCTAGACTCATGTGACATCACACTGCTACAAGTGTATTTCAAAATTTCGTGCCGCCACCTTCCGCCCCCACAAAGGACGAAAATCTGTGGCATGCACAATTTTAAAGATACGATAAAACTAAAAACGCAGTATCGTAGAGAATACCATATCTATCAGATTGCCGAATCTGAAAGAGATCGGATCATAATTATAGCCAGAATGAAGAAATTAATTTTCAGTGGCTTCCCCCGCCTACTTCAGCCAGAAACACGTTACTCATTCTCTTTCTCGCTCGCACACTCTGCCTCGTTAAGTGCGCGAGCAACCCCTAGCGGAGGAGATGTAGAATCTACATGTTAGATGTATAATATACATTGAAGATGTATATAAAAGATGTAGCAAACAAATGTAAAATGTCAAATTTTTTTTTTTATTTCTAAAATTCTAAAAAATCATAATCTCAAAAATGTATATACTGACTGAGTATGGGTAAAAGAAGTGTCGCGTCCCCAGAAGCGACTCACATGTTCCTTCTTGTTTTATTTATAATTTTTGTTTTTATTAATAAACATTAAATTATATATGACCCTTTTTTTATTATCAAAGAAAAAAAGATTTTCATGCATATTTAGCATGTTGTTTCTATGGCTGATATATTAAATAGTCCACCGATTCCTATTATTTTCATGGATATAGTCTACATGGATATATAATAGATTAGGGAAAATTTCAGCGTAAAAATTTATGGAATTCCTATTTTTGTTGTGAAAACCGAATATTAGATAAAATTGTAGATTGTAGACATTGTAGATGTAGATAACAGATGAAGCAAAAAAATATAAAATATTTAAAAATTCCACATATATCATATATATATATGAGCAATTCGGCTCACTGAAGGAGCATTAAAGACGAAGGTTAACAGCACTAACAGCAGAGCAGCAGCAGGGAAGTATATGAACAGCAGAGGAAGGCAGACGAATAACAGCAGAGAAGAAGATCAGCAGAAGCAGAGTACTAAGAAGATAATTGAAGAAGCCGAACCAAAGACAATATAAGAATTTTGCATGCTGCTTTAGAGCTGGGTCCAGGCTCTTTTGAAATTTTTTAGAGAGAGAGAGCGCTCTAGAGCCAGCCGCTCTAGGTGGTGCGAATTTCGTCGCTTGCCGAAAAATTGGCTTGCATATGGCAACTGAAATGAATGAGCGTTACGCATCTTATACTTATATTGTCTTTGGCCGGACGTAGCGTGGAACAGCAGAAGCAGAAATCAGCCGATATCAAGCAGTTACAGAAGCCCAATAATTCTTACCATTATCTGTGCACAGCGATTTAGTATCAATAAAACTATACCTAATAATATCTTACTGACTGAGTACGGGTATAAACGTAGAGTCGCGTCCGGAGAAACGACTCACACGTTCCTTCTCATTTAATTTCAGGTTAAAGTGGAAAAACAACCTAAAATGAGGTGAATAAACTAAATGTTTGATATATTTCATCTATTAGACATTTGATATCTGAAAATAAATCAGAAATGGCCGAAGGTCATACTGTGCAGCGATTACGTTAGCGATTAACTTGGTGGGATAAGATCGTGCATAAAACGTCCCAATTTATTACCCCAGGAGTGAACTCAAAATATATTTTCCCGTATTCGTGTTGTTCGAATTCAGTTTTTTGGTGGAATTCTTTTCATACCCAATATTCTTAAGAATATAGGGATATATTAGCTGTCTGTCCGTAAGTATGTCTATCTGTAGAGCTAGAGCAACCAAATTTCGTTTGAAAATTTTGCCACACCCTTTACCGCACAAAGGGCATCAGAGTTATCAGATTTGCAAAATCTGTTTCAGATCGTATACCTATAACAGCCAGAATGAACAAATCGATTTACAGTGGCTACGCTACCCCCTTCCATGCGCTTCCTCTATCTTATCTCTCTCCCACTCTCTCCCTCTCTGAGAAGTAAGAGAGAGGGAGATACACAGATGAATCATACATGGAAGAAAGGTGCTCAAGGTAAATTAACTAAACATAAGTAAAGAGGCAGTGAATTTCTGCTACACTTACAAAAATTATAATAAGATCACCAGTAAGGACCTACCACTCAAGTCCCAGTGCACCCAATCCCTTATCATGATTTTTTAAAAGCTGGCAGTGCAAACGAAGCGCGGAAAAAGTTAAGAACTAAGCGGCTTGTACTCCGTGATGTCAGTTGGCAGTTGTCACTGCTCTTGACGGTCTTTAAGTGTGGATGTGTGCCTCATGTGGGTTTGTCTATGACAGCTGCTCCCGCGAAGCCGCTGACACTTGTCAATGCTACGAGTATTAGTGGTATGAGAGACCAAACAATATACGAATGCGCACGGACAACTGTCAAACTTGCGCGAAAGAACATCGAAACAAAATAAACGACGCATCAAAAGTTTATTGTAGGTGCAGAAGTGAACACTTCATTTAGATCAAGTTAACCTAAGCTAATTTCTACAATAATATGAAAACTACTGAGAAAAAGTCCCTTACATTTTCTAATTGACCAGTTCCAATTTTATTCCATTGGTACCCTCTTGTGTGCTTAATGTTTGTTTCCAATTTCCTACGAGTGTAGCTGATTTTCCCAAAGTCAAACAACATTTCAGTTATCTACAACTTCCTCTACTGACCAAGAAAACTTCATATATTCTCGCATTGAATCTACCCTAAGCCCGATAGGGCCCAGTCCATTGACTGCACACGTATTTGCTGATTGCGAAACAAATATTGACAGGGCCTGGGAGGGCATTGGACATTCCCAGCCGTGTCCTTCGAGTGACTTATCGGGCTGCGTCGTCTCGCAGTCCACAGAGACATTTCCCTTATTTTTTTGTTGTTTTTTTCGGGCTGGTAGCCGTATCATGTTTCATGCTGACGCACCAGCACAAAAGCAGAAATTATATTTAAAACTTGTCTCTCCTTGACTTTTTTTTTGCAGAGTTTCCCTTCCTGGCTTGTGGATGGCATGGTATTTACTTTTGTGGTCATTGTGCGCCTGCCTCAGAGACATCCAAAAGCCCCAAAGTTATAATTCTTTAAGTTTTTATCTGCCACACACCCCAGACAGAGACGCAGTCAGAGACAGAGGCAGGCACACACACACACCCCAAGGATCCAGGAAGAGAAAGGACACAAGGAGAGGAAGAGGGACCTGGAGCTCTGTCTGGCTCGCTGGCTGCCCAAGTGGGCGTATTCGTAATATTTAAGCTATATGGACTTAATAGGGGCCCCTTCACCCGTAATTTTTGCATATTAATGATTTATGAATGGCCAGCGTCTAGGGTGTCTGGGGACGATGCGAATAACGAATTAACAAACGCAGCAACAGACCCAAAGTTGCTGTCTATTTTCATTTAGAATTCGCTTAATTTTCATTTGCTTCGCTAATGAAAATGTTAGACACCCCTCGCTGCCCTCAAAGTGGAAATTTCGCTTGACTTTTTGGGGGCACTTTCAATTTTAATTAAGGTTGAACCCCACTGAGCCAGAAATGGAGCCGGCCTCGGCCTGGGTTCTGTATTCTGTGTTCTTGGTCCAGTTGGTTCGTTGCTTACTTTTAGGCGATTTATGGGGAAACAACACATTTGTTGTGCTAATGATGCCATTTTTCCTGCACAATTACCTGCCCAGTCCTAAGCGCGGATCATCCGTACACACAAATAAAATCAGCACAAACGAGAAGGAAACCACTTCCCCCAATGCCTACAGTCATGTGTGTATTTTATTTGAACAAATTGCTTTTAGATGCTGTGCACTGATTGGAACTAGTTCTTTGTGTGCGGAGCGTAAGCACATAACGGTTAACAAATTGTACTTGGAGCTAAACTAAATAAAGTCCAACATACTTTTAAAGTAAATAATAATATAAATAAAACTGCCACATGCAGGAGTACGTATATTTTAATACTTATGAAGAAAAGTTCTCTTACAAACGGAACTATCAACAGACTTTCATACTTCGGCAACTTTTTCAGTCAGCTCCAGCATCAACTATTTATATTATGGCTACCATTTGGCCAACATGTAAGGCCGCGTCAGCAGAAATTTGTTTCTCTGGCTTACCGACAAATAAGTAGCTGCCATAAAGGCAGAAGATACTTAACCTGAGCTGCTACTCAACCACTATCTCAACATAGGAATAGGCTGAAGATGTGGGCTAGTAAAGACGAAAGTTGATGACCAGAGCTTGGTCAAATTTCCATTTAGTTAATGGCCACGTTTGACAGGGACTCCGTCCAATCAGTGCCCTTGCATTGCAATGCAATAAAAGCAACCTAAAGTCTATTAAGCAGGGCAAAGCCAAAATGGCAGCGTTCCGCTCGGATTTAATTCCAATGAGCCGCGTGAGGCGCCCGGATCCAGTAGATAGCTGGACACGGGATAGGGAACACACTTGTAACTGAGCTAACCAGCCAGAACCGGGGGACGCCCTCCAAACCGAACTGGGACTCGAAACAATGCTTAATGGGGTCGGAAGCTGGCGAGCCAGAGGGCGACAAAGGGATAGCAGGAACAGGGTAATCTACCAACTGAATGTGCAACATGCCAATGCACATGATGTGTTTAATGGTTAAATTGTTGCTAATTCCATTACCCGTTTGCTGGCCTCCATTTTGTCTACCTCTCTATATCTGTGTGTGCTTCTGTATCTGTGCTCCCTATCTGTGTGTGTCTGGGTCTCCGTCTGTGTTGGTATTGGTGTTTGTTGTGTGTGTTGTGGCCAAAGTGTTGCAATGCCGCTAGCACACAAGGACCTAGACCAGTCCAGACCCGTCCAGAACCCAATGGGGGTCCGGCAAGGGGAGTCGCTGGCAAATGGAACGTGCACAAATTAATGTTACGTTGACGCAATGTTGGCCAGGCTCGAGTACCGTGACCCCTGCCTGGAGCGGCCACCCGTCCCTACCTCCATCGGCCCGCTTCGAATTTGGCACATTGTTTGCTAGGGTGTGCAGATTTGTCAAACGTGTTCGAGGATGGGTGTGAGGACAGAAGCTGATTGGAATTCCCACTCACAAATGGCCAAAGGGCAGCCCTCTGCTCAGCCCCAATATTTTCGACGGAAGAAATTAGCCTGCAAAGATTTCATCTGGTAGGATCTATCCTGAATGAGGCTTATGTTAACCAACTGAAAAATAATAGTTTTAGGTAATTATACGCATCAGCTTTATTGCCAGTTATTTTACATATATTGGTAATCGGACGAAATCGCAGGACTTATTCTAGTGTGAGTTTGTTTATAATCCAGTAGGATGCAGCATAAATTATTCAAGAACTTTGAACATCGAAGTATCGTAATCAATCGTAATAATCTGGCACCCATTTACCCATTTAAATTTACTTGTACAACGTACAGTCTTTGCGCAGAGACTCTCGGCTCTCGACCCAACTTTATCACATCTGAGTTTAGCGATTCCATTTGTTTGTTACAACCCTTAGCTTCCTGTCAGAAGAATTATTTGCAACGCTCATCCTCCATTAGCAAAAGTGCTTACAATATTTACTAATGCCCCAACAGTGGTGCGGTAAGCCATAAAATCCGATTCGAGGATTTAAAATTTCTGCATCACAGATCTTCGCACTTACCCCCGACCACAACTCGCACCCGCATTTCGAGTACACTGGCGGAATTAAAAGCCTCCCCCTCGAATGAGCTAACCCCGAAAACCCTAAAACGGGGAGGCATATTAAATTTGTTTAGTATATGTACTAAAGTATGCGCGACAGGGCATCAAGCTGTACAAATGGTTATGGGATCCTAAGTTGGACCCTCACAAGCCCCGACCATCCACCGCTCCATTCAGTTAACGCTTCGCAGTGGCGTAGTTGGCACTTTTCTATTTATTTGCCCATTAACGCTCATTTGTGGTTATCAGGTAAATTGGATAAAAGCCAACGTAGCATGAAGCTAGGAGCTGTGGCATGGCAGCTCCTAACCCTGCCTCTATCTGTGACCCGGTCTGTGCTTCTGCTTCTGCCTCTGCCTCTGCCTGTGCCTGGGGCATGTCCTGCTCTGTCTCCACCTTCTCGCTTTTTGCTCCTATTCTGCCTCTGCCACTGCCACTGCTTATCTTCGAGTGTTGTTGCAACATGAAATGAAGGCTTTGCCTTTCCCATTGCGGAAATGTTCCCCTGAGTTTCCTCCTCCCAGTTCTGGATTTATTCCGCTTTCGCGTTAACTGCGCCAGTCATTAACTTTTTACGACTGTTTGTCTGTTTGATCGTGGCTTACCCATCCTCGGGAAAATATATCAGCATTCAAATTGAATTCAAATATTTGCGGTTGCAAAGCCCAAACTTCATTTTTCCGTATTTAATTCGCAATTTGTTTAGCCTCATAAATAAAGCGTTGGCCCCAGCTTAGGGTCGTCATAAAGTTTCATTTCCACACAGGGAAATACTTTTTCGGCTTCCTCTTCGACAGCCCAGCAGCAACCTTTATGCATTTGGTGTCAGAGAGATGGAACAAATTTAAATGCGCCATGTTGCAAGCTCAAATGAAATTTTGTGGCTTGTTGCAAAAACAAAAAAAGCGAAAAAATGGAAATAAAAAAAATACAAATAAATGTAATACCACCTTTTAGCACAACGAATTTTGTATACCTTTTCAGCTCAGGAAACGCAAAACATTGGCTTATAATGCCGGAAATATCATTTATAATCAGCTTTCGAATTAATGGAGCTATCTCTACTGGTACATACACATCTGATTTTTTGTTTTACCTAAACCAAAGTTTTAAAACAAAAATGTTTTTCCCGTAGGAACCCAATTTGTTAGGGCTTTCTTTCTGTAAGCCGGAAGTTATATAAAAACAGACAGGCATGGCAAATATATATAATTTTATAGTTTCAGAAAAGCTTTCATCTTTCCAGCAAAAAAAAATTAATGCTACACTGTGGAAGGGTATGGCAGAGAAAGAGAAAGCCAGCATCGCCTGCAACACAATACTCATACACACTCGGTGGCATTGTGGCTGGGGATCGGTGTCGTCCTTCGTTTGGCGTCCGTTGTCCTTCGTCGACGTCCACTGCATGCGGTCGCTCAATATGAAAGGAATATATAATATAAAGGCTCAGTTCTGAGGGTGAAAGCTGAATAGGAAAGAGGGTGGCACGGGATGGTGGCCAGGGGAGTGTCAGTAGGTCTGTGGTCGGTTTGCGCTAAATTAAATTTCGACGCGTCTGGCCCCCAAAGTCCAACACACTTATACAACTGAGCACTCATACGAGCGCACATGCACTTGCTCGTACACAAATTACTATTTCGACAAAATATAGAAAAAACTACTAAAGTCCATGAATATTGTAGCCACATCTGTACAGCATCTCTTTTTTATTTTTGCAATTTTGTATATTTCAGCTCGACATCACCATTAAGGAATATCCCTAGGCCGGTGTCTGCACCCACTGGCACCTTTTTGGTCTGTTCAACCCGGTACTGGGAGAGGATGTGCAGGATGGCCGTTTTAACGCTCAGTTGCCCGACACGCATACCTACAAAATGTACAATAAAACGGTTATAAAACGGTTATTAATCTTCGTGTCTAAGAGTATACAATAAAATTGTTTGTCATATAAATATTACAGAATATAGCGGGGAATAGATGTTAGGATCATCAAATAATGACACCCACCCCATCCAACATTAACAAAAAACTATTTACTATTAAGAGTATCATCAATATTGTGAGTATAAATAAATAAATAATACGAGAAGGAACGTTGTGAGTCGCTTCTGTGTACGCGACTTTACTTGTATACCCATAAGCAGTCAGTATATTTTATATTCAACAAAAAAGACTTTCTCCCCCCGAAGGGCGCACACTGAGGTACGGTTAGTAGCGCTGTAGCGGGGGGGTATATTAATCTGTCTAACCAGTTCAGCTATCTACAATGCTGATTAAAAATATATACACTTTTACCACAAATCTAATATACCCCTAAACTCTTCGAGTACGGGTACAAAAACAAATTCATTGCAACGTATTTTATGCAATCCAATCTATCCAATCTTGTCGGTGCCCACTTTTTAAACCATTTTGACTTTGATAGCAATTCAAAGCATAAAATCGGATTAAAAATTTGAATACGCACCTACGCAAATGCGAGGACCATCACCAAAGGGCAGGAAGCAGCCTCGCTTGGTCAAGACAGTCGCCGCACCATTGTAGAAGCGATCCGGCTGGAATTTAGCTGCTTCCGGATAGAAAGCGTCGTCGTGATGAAATTGGTAGGCGGGAACCATAACACTAGTGCCAGGCTCCATATCCAGCACTTTGCCATTGCCCAAATCGAGTTGAGTGGGCTTCGTGCATATCCTCATGAAGAAGCCAATGGGTGTGGTCAGGCGTAGAGACTCTGAAAGAAAGAGAACAATGGCTAATTTAATGATTACTCGTATGTATATGGATAGCATACTATATACCATTTAAGCACTGATCCAGATAGGGCAGGGTGCTCAACTGCTCGTAGCTTATATGCCCTTCGGAATCCAGAGCCTCCATAAGTTCCGAACGTAGTTTTTCCTGCTCATCGTGGTGCTCGCTCAGCTGATAAGATTTGTGGTGACTAAGTAACGGTTTGATTGAAAATTTTTAAATTACATAGCTACCGTGTAAAGCATGTGATAGAGAACGGCTCCGGAGGTTTCGTAGCCGTCCAAGAGAACGGACAGGGCATGGCCCACCGTATCCGTGATGGAGTTGCCCCGCTGCTGGAGCTGAATCAGATGAGACAGGTAGTCCGTCCGCTCCGACCCACTGCCACTCTGGCGCAGCTTAAGAGCATCCCGGGTGAGCTGCAGATAGAACTCATCCGACGCCTTGGTAAAGAACCGCATCTGCAGCATCTTGCGCAGGAATGGGGCCACCAAGGACTTGTTGAACTTGATTATGGACTTGAAGGCATTGAAGGTCCAGTCCGTGGATGTCTTCTGAAAGTGACCTATTTCTCCAACGGCGCCGGTGAGGGAGCCCGCGTCAATTCCCCAAATAAAGTCGGCCATCGTGTTAGCCGTGAAGCGATAGGCGAGCTGAAACCGATGGGGATCAGTTGGTGGACCTTATCAGCACCTTTGGAATCCAAACTATAACTCACATCTTTGGTCTCGATGACGTCGCCCTTCTCTTGTCTCGCCCGCTCGATGTATTCGATCAGTTTCTTCCCACTCTGCTCCCAGATCGTAAAGGCCATCTTCAGTCTATTCTGAGTGAGTCCGCCCCCGTTCTCAGTACGCTTTTTCTTCCATTCATCTCCGGCGCTAAAGAACGGAGATCCCTGCACGAACTTATCATCGGGATTGTGACCCACATAGCTGCTGGTTATGGTGTCCCGAAAGTCACTGAACTTATTCACCAGGACTTCATGGGCCAGTGCCGGGTCCAGCACCAGCAGTTGGGGTTGGCGTGTGAGGAAGGTTCCCACAGCTCGGTGCTGTGCTTTATACTTGCTATGGGAAATTAACATTATTCATTTTACAAATGGGAAGCGGAGGATTCATCTTCACCCACTTGTACACCTCCTCTACGTCGAGTATGAGGCTGCGGCTTTTGTCAGCTAAAACACCCGGATATGAGCCCAGAATGGTCAGGGGCTTCGCTGTCACCACCCCCCGCTTCTCCCAGTACTTGTGGTGCCAGGTCAAGTACAAATATACCACGGCAAAGGCAACGTGAACAGCGCACAAGAGCAGGCCGACTGTAGTCCACATGCTGCCCTACTAATCGAACAGATCCGCACGAAGAACGAATGAAAACTGTTTGTTTATTTCACAGATAACACCGAACACAGCGTCACTCGTCTCACAAGTGGCAAAACAATTGGAGTAATCGCGGGCATCTCAAATACACACACACACAGATACAATGAAACTTTACTGCCGTTTTTTCAATGTGTTATATTCTATATTGCTACAATCAGTTTTATAAGAGCATTCATTTAACATACTGATAGCACTATCGCGCGGACTCTAACGATAAGTACGAGTGCGAGTACATAATGTATCAGACAATTAAGCTACGGTTGGAGCTACGATCTGATTACTGATCGTAGATCATTATCTCTTCCAATCTTCCTATTGGCTATAACGTACAAGTCAATGCGTTGCCATCGCCCGGCACTATCAGCTACAGCTTCCCACAATAAATAAAACTATTAGGAAATTTTGTTTCAATCGTGAATATTTTATTACTAATCTTCCAAATAATTAAATTATATATATTTATAGATACAAATTTTACGAATACTCAACTCTATTTAAAAAAGCGTCGATACTCTAGATTAACATTCCCCTGGAGTACAACGCCGAAGCCAGCGTCGCCGTTTGGGATGAGTTTCTCCTTGCCTCGCACCACTTGAAATTCGCTAAGAATGTGGATCAGGGCGGACTTCAGAGTCAGCATAGCCAAACGAATCCCTACAGGAGATACAGGAGATATGGATTACATATAAGCAAAGTGAAGGTGGGTCGCTCCCCCTGAGACATACCCATGCAATTACGCGGTCCATCACTGAACGGAAGGAAGACACCTTTGCGAATTAGTTCGAGATGAGCGGCATCATCAAATCGTTCTGGCTTGAACATTTCCGGATCGGGGAAATATTTCTTATCATGGTGGAACTGATAGTTGGGTATCATGATTGTCATGCCTGCCTCCACTTCTAGTATTTTAAATTCGTTGATCTGAATGTTTGTGGCGTTCGTACAGACCTTGGTGAACTGCGGAACGAGGCTGCTTAGCCGTAGCGATTCTACAATATCCGATAAAATAATTGCTCCAATTGAAATGGGGAGAGAACATACCATAGACCACCTGATCCAGATAGGGTAGGGCACACAACATCTCGAAGCTGAGACTCTTGTCGGTGTCGAGGTTCCTCAGGACTTCCATGCGCAGTTTCTGCTGACTTGCCGGATTCTCCGCCAGCTGAAAGGAAGCGGTCAGTGGAGTATTGTTTAAGTCGAATTGTTGGCTCACGCACATAGTACAGGGCATGGAGGAGAGCAGTTCCTGTGGTGTCGTAACCATCTAGCATTACTGTCAGCGCATGCCCCACCAGATCATCGTGTGTGGCCAGTTTCTGTTCGCGCAGCTGCAGAAGATGGGAGAGATAGTCTGTGCGGGAATTATCACTGCCGGCACTGAGGCGCATTTCAATGGACTCCTTGGTTAGCTTGGAGAAGAATTCGTCCGTCTCTTTGGGGTAGAAGCGCAGGCGCAGCAGACATCGGATGAAAGGAGCCACAATCGAGGCCATGAACACGGAGATCATATAGAAGGCATAGCTGGTCCACTTGCTGGCCATCTGCTGCACCTTATTGGGATCCTCCTGGGGCCGGGTCAGGGTCCCGGCATCGATGCCCCAAATAAAGTCAGCCATAACATGTGCCGTGTATCGAAAGCAGAGCTGAGAAAGCAGAGACATCGAATGGGATCCTATGTACATGGGGTTCGTGAATTTCAACTCTACTCACATCTCTGGTCTCAAGGAGATTGTTGTGCTCCGTAACCTGAGCAGTCATGTAGTTGGTTAGCATCTTGCCGCCCTCCTCCCAAATGGCGTAGGCCTTCTTTAGTCGATGCCCAGATATCCCGGCCTGGGCATCTTTGCGGAGGCTGCGCCAGGACTGACCGGAGGCCCAGAAGGGATTTTGGCGCGCGTACTTGTCCCACTTGGCATGCCGTATGTACGAGCTGGTCAGAGAGTCCTTGTAGCAGCGGAAATTCAGTACCAGAACTTCGTGGGCCAGCTCCGGGTCGAGCACCAAGATCTGAGGTTGACGTGTCACAAACACTCCCACGGCCCGATGTTTGCCCTTGTATTTACTTTAGAAGGAACTCTCAGATGAAACTAAACACCAGCTAAATACCTAAATGCCAACTCACTCGTAAACCTTCTGCACATCCTCCACTAGATTGCTCTGCCTCGTCAGCAGTCCCGGATAGGTGCCCAATAGAGTGAGCGGACGGGCCGTGACTAAGCCCCTCTTGCGCCAGTACCTGTGATGCCAGGTGAGATACACGTAGATGGGGAGCAGCATCAGGTGCACCACGATCAGTCCCAGCGCTACTATTATATACATGCTGCCGCGATCCGTGTATTTGCAGGCACCTCTGACTCTCGGCTGGTACTGGTCGACTCGATTTCGTCGTCGCTCTGACTTAATCAAGCACCGTCCGTTCAGGCTGCCTTTGCTAGTTTCCATATATTTTTTCTGGCTCTCTGTGGGAGCACAGCAGTGACTGGGTTGAGCCCGGGTGTATAATATACTTAATATATTTAAAAGCTGTGTAGATGTTTTTTCACCGATATTTATAGATGACTTATCAGCACAGCCAGCTTTTGTTATGGAAAACGGATTGATGAACCCAATGGCAAATTAACCAGAGGAACAAACATTTATGTGCCAATTCATTCCCCCAGAATTTAAAATTAAATGTCAACTACTGATCAAGTCGATAAAATAGACTAAGTTCATTTCCGCGCTCTACAAAATAATTTAGTGTTTGCTATACAAACAACTAATTCCCTTTTTGTATATTTTATTCCGTATTCATAACCATATGGCAGCTATGGCACATTCTGGTTGCATGTATGAGATATGAGGAGAAGCTCGTTGCTTCAATTGCCATCAATGAGATAAAGTCATCCAATTATAATCCTTTTAGGCTAATTTTTGAGTCAAGTTATCTATAAGTAACTAGATTGCATAACGCAGTTTTTAATTTGGGGACCGAATGTGGTTAAAACCTGATAATCTTATCATAAAGTAGATGTGTCGATCAATATGCTATCGAAACGATAAGTGCCGTGCCTCATAGCGATTTTGCATTCCATTTAATTTGTTCAGTTCAGTAACTAAAGGCCCAGAACCAGCAGCACGCAAGCGGATATAATTGCAGAAGATGTTAAAGGGACCTAAGTAACTTAATCACCTGAAAACCTCTCATTCCAAGTAGCCGATTAAAGCTTGTAGAGTTGGCCATAACCCAGGGAATATCTCTCATTGAGATCAGTGAGACCAGGCTCGCGGTCACCTATATCAAAGCCAACATACACACTTAGTTTACTTGGAAATCGAGCATTGACTTTCTCGAACAACCCAGATGCTGCTTGGGTGGCAGATAGGAGTTGCGGAAACAGCTGGCCAAGGCATTTGTCCCCAGTGCTCCGACATCCTGCAGCTGATTCAGGTAAGATTAAGATTATTCATATTATGAATCAATTTAGGCATAAATCACACCTCCGCTCTATTGCTATTATACATCTGTAATGTTTTAAATGTCCTGATTCACATCGTTTTGTCGCGGATAGACCAAGGCTTTGCTTAGTTCGAGTTTATTGGCCAGGTATGTTGGAGGTCTTGATGAACCAGGTGCAGGAGCCTAGAAGATGGACGAGTTTTTATATAATCACAGACTGGTGTGGATTCCACAGTCACCATCGTTGTAGTTCTCCTTAATTATGGGTGAATATTAATTATGGCTTCTCTGCATTCCTTTTTGTGTTGAGTGCCTGCGGAACTGAACGATTCTTTTCCTTGATACCTCTACTATTATCGTACATCTGCCTCCCTCGGCATCGATTACGGAACCACCACTGGCTTCACCAGTGCATTTTTTTATATGGTCCTATCCCCCAACGTCTTGGCTTGCTTGTTTGGCATGCTGTTGCAGCGTGATTATTTTATTGTCGCTCTCCAGATCGCTTTCACTCTCCAGGGGCCTGGACATCGCACAGATTGCACTCTTGATCATCTCTTCATTTACTTGATAAAATAATTACCGGATTTGATTAATAAATAAGTGCTATCCTCTTGGCAGGATCTGCGACTTTTTCAAAATATTTTATTTTTGTTGTACATCAATTGACATCAAAACATCAAGGTTCATGTCCGATTTACATTCATATGTCCGATTCATTTCGGATTCATGCATCATGCATCGGATATGCATGTGAAATCATGTCCGATTCATGTCCGTTCATGTCCGATTAATGTCCGATTCATGTCCATGTCCGAAGGAAACGTTTCCGACCCCGATCGAACCCTTATTATAGCCAAAATAGGGGAATTAATTTTTAGTTGCTGCCCCACCCCCTTTCACCACAGCATACCCTGCCTCGTGCACCCTCTGGCGGAGGAGATGTAGAATCTACATTGTATATTTAGATTACAGATGTAGCCAAAACGAGAAGGAACGTGGGAGTCGCTTCTAGGGACGCGACTCTCCTTATACCCGTACTCAGTATATTCCCATTTAGATGTCCCATTTAGATTATAAATCTTCTCCCATAGAGGGCACGCGGCAAAGTGTGCGAGCGAGAAAGAGAATGAGTAGAAGGTCTCTTGCTGGAGAAGGAGGGGAACCGACTGAAAATTAATTTCTTCATTTTGGCTATAATTATGAGTCTAGAAACCAAATTTTGTTGCCCTAGCTCTTATAGTCTCTGAGATCCAGGCGATAAACAAGGAGGAAAGACGGACAGACAGACATGGCTCTATTGACTCGGCAATTGATGCTGATCAAGAATATATGTATATACTTTACGGGGTCGAAAACGTTTCCTTCTCTGCGTTACACACATCCACTTTTACCACAAATCTAATATACCCCTTAACTCTTTTTAAGTACGGGTATAAAAATGTGTACAGATAAAATATTTAAGAATTCCACATTAATCATAAGCTCATATATGGGTATGGGTATAAAGGTAGAGTCGCGGCAACAGAAGCGACTCATAACGTTCCATGTCGTTTTTAATAAATCTATCTCCAATTCTATCTCCAAAAGATACTGCATACATTTTCGATCAGCATGAAAAGAAAAAATCAAACAATCTGCACCAGTGCAAGTACGCACAATGCTTCTTAGCTGAGCTGAAAGCTCGTCCAATGATCAAGCATGTTTTTTTTATCAGCAAGCTGACTCAGTTTCGCTTTCAGCTAGTGTGTGCTCAAACCCTAAAGATATACATACATATGTAAGAATACATATAAATCAAATATACATTCATATGTACATATACGAGTATGGATATCAGTTTCATTTGAGGAATTATTCAACAATTCTTTTTGAAGTCATTCATTGTAAGCTTTTGCTTTGAGCGGTTGTACATCTTCTACAATTTATATAATGTCCAAGTCTGCGTCGCTCCTCTTGTGTATGTTAATTGTTTCACATCTCCAGACATCTTTTGCAAGTAATTCGGTAAGTGCCACATCTAGATTAATTCTGGCATATTAAAATAGAGTCTCTAACAGAACACCGAATTTTTTACTCAGACCTCTGAAAGCCAGTGCGATGGATATTGCATTAACGCTATGAAACCTATTCTGGACCACATCGCTGCCAATCAGCAGTGGTGGAATGCCTTTGACGCAACCAAACTGGAATGCAAGGCCAGACTAAATAGGATGGTAAAGCAACTGGAGAACTTCGAGGTCGAAAACTTTGTGCAGATCGGCTCGAGGTTCTTTTACATCGAGCAGCATCACAGAGTCAACTGGTTTTCCGCTACGAGTATATGCCGTCGGATGGGTGGCTATCTGTCGAGTCCGAGAAGTGAGAAAGAGTTGAATGGCATTAAGGAAAAGCTCACACCAGGCCGAAGATATTGGCTGGGAATTTCTGACTCGGCCAAAGAGGGCTTTTTTCTGTCGCAGGACACTGGAAATATGGCATATTTTTTAAAGTGGTATGGAGGCCAACCAGACAACAAGGACGACAATGAACATTGCGTGGAACTTCGATCAGAATATGATTTTTTGATGAATGACGCTGAATGTACGATTAATTCATATTTTATTTGCGAGGCAAGCGATGAACAAATGGATTAATGGATAAGCATCCAGAACGTTTTCAGTCGAAGTATTTTTTTGCTTTTTTATTTATTTTTTTATTAACTTAACAATATTTCTTATTAACTTAGCATGTTCATAATAGTGTACATGAGTATAAAACATTTCTGCGTCATTAGCTATCAGACCAACAAAATCAAAAGTCTGCACCTGCTATTTATAGTCTTCGCATATCAAGATCACCTCTCATATCACCTTTCAACCGACAATATTTCACTATACAATATATTTCTGAATATTTATACACCTAAATTCTTGTTGTTTTTTTTCCGCTGGTCAAATTTGATTAATTGATAAAGGCAAATTAAAGTTTTGTGAGCTGTTCGACCATACGGATCAATGCTGCTGCATTCCCAGTCCAGGCCATCGTTGCGACTTTTTTCTTTGAATGCTTGCAAACTTAAATGTCTTACCGGTACAAGATAATTCATTTTTTTATATACATCAATAATAATAATAAAAAAAAGTGTCATAATATGTCATTATGGCCCAAATAGTATTAGCATTAGCACCTTGCAACTATTTGCTTAGTGTTATTAGTATGTTAAAGAATGTTTGTATTAACAGTATTGGCTGGCCACAAGTGCGGTAAGTGAGTTCAACAACAACATCAGCAATTTATGTTTTCGTAAATGCTACGCCAAAAGATAAGAGCTTGCCTTATTTATTTTGATCATTCTTATCGCATTGTTAATATTGGTCGCAAAATTAATTGTGTTTCCCGGATTTTTTACTTTTCATGAAGAAAGTAATATTTATATATATTTATATAAAATATTTAAAAAACATTTTCAAAGAAAACTACTTATGTACATATGTCTGCAATCTCAAGCGGCATTTGGTTGAGCAGCATAAAAAATAATAAAAAGAATTCTGAAACACCAAACAAAGAAATTACATTTACAGTGACTAAAAATTTTATCAAGTGGCGTGCGTTGATCTCGTGACCACCTAAAAAATGTCGTTTTCTGTATTAAATGCCAGTAGTGACGTCAGGAAATGTAATGAGATTGGTAGTCGAAAAGTACGATAAAATAAAATCTGAAATCGTGGCTTCATAGACAGACAAAATGCTATGCCTAAAAATGGATACAGCCACTAGACTGCATCGTGGCTCTTGGTCCTATTGTGCTTCAAAAATCACACACATCTGAAAATGTATGTGGCCATAAAATGTGCAACACATATCCTGCAGCTTTCTGTAATAGATTTTTATAAACACATGAATTCCCTTGAGTTTATTGCGAAAGCACGTAAAGTTGTATGGATTCTAAAAACTCCTTCATACCCGTGCGATTTTGAAAGTCATTTTTATATATATCAAATAATTTATCTAAAATTTCAAAACTTTAATTTTCGTTTGCCAGACCAGACCAGAGCTGGATGTTACTACTCGCTGGAATTAACTTTTACAATGCTAAATGCATTGTTGAAGTCTTACGATCTTTTTGGCGAACACGTTAATAGTCCAATCAAGCTTACTTTATATGATTGGGATGAAATCAAAGCACTCGTGAGAAAATAGGAACCAATGTTCTGCCCAACACTTAAATTGTAAAGCACATAATTGTATATGGGTGACTTTTATACCCGATACTCGTAGAGTTAGGGATATATTAGATTTGTGGCCGAAATGGATGTGCGATGATAATATATTCTTGATTGCCAGATTGCCGACTATGGATCAGATCGGATCATTATTATAGCCAAAATGAAGAAATAAATTGGCAGCTGCTACGCTACTCCCTTCTCGCTCACACACTCTGCCACGAAAAGTGTGCACCTTCTGGCGGGGGTGTAAGAAGAGAGATGTGGGTTTAGATGACAGATTTACCGAAAAAATGAAGCAGATAAAATATTTTAAGGTTCCACACAAATCATAAGCTCACATATATACTGACTCAGTACGGGTATAAAAGTAGAGTCGCTGCAACAGCAGTGACTCACAACGTTTATAATTTAAAATAAATTTATACATATATTTCCCGACATATTTTCGATAAGGCTAAAAATAGTTTCATCCCCTAAAGATATGAGTATACATATAAATATATATATATGAGTATGGATATCAGTTTCACTTGAGGACTTGTTCAACAATTCATGTTGAAGTCATTCATTGTAAGCTTTTGCTTTGAGCGGTTGTACATCTTGAACAATTTACAGAATGTCCAAGTCTGCGTCGCTCCTTTTGTGTATGTTAATTGTTTTGTATCTGCAGAAATATGTTACAAGTGATTCGGTGAGTGGGAATTTTAGATAAATTCTGGCATATAAAACTAGAGTTTCTTTCGAACAGAACACCGCATTGTTAACTCAGAACTCTGAAAGCCAGTGCGGTGGATATTGCATTTCCGCTATAAAGCTTTTTCTGGAACACATCGCTGCCAATCAGCAGCGGTGGAATGCCTTCGACGTAACTACACTGGAATGCAAGGCCATACTGGACAGGAAGGTGCCAAAAGTAAAGCAAAAGGAATACTTCGTGCAGATCGGCTCGAGGTTCTTTTATATCGAGCAGCATCACAGAGTCAACTGGTTTTCCGCTACGAGTATATGCCGTCAGATGGGTGGCTATCTGGCAAGTCCGAGAAGTGAGGATGAGTTGAATGGCATTAAGGAAAAGCTCACACGAGACAGATACTATTGGCTTGGAATTTCTGACTTGGGCAATGAGGGCTTGTTTCTGTCGGTGGCCACTGGAAAAATGGCATCTTTTCTAAAGTGGAGTTCTGGTGAACCCAACAATCGTGGTAAAAATGAAAGATGTGTAGAACTTCGATCTGACTTCCTAATGAATAACAACGCATGTACATTTAAGACGTATTTTATTTGCGAGGCAAGCGGTGAATCATAATAAATATCAAACCTAAATGTAAGTCCCCTTTTGTGTGGGGTTGTTCAACCTGCACTGATAGAAAAAAGTCATAGTAAAAATAACTACAATCATATTTGAATTTAAAAAAGGCGATTTTTAAATACAAACATACTAAAATTAAATAGAATTTACTTTGATTCAAATATAAATGTATTAAAAATGCTTTCTTAATACTCTCATATTGAATCTAAATACAAAACACTTCAAAATAACTATAAATATTAACATTTCAAGTATTGATTTGAATCGAGCTGCGTTTCTGTATGATTGCACCATCGACTACAGCTTGATCGTTTACTTTGCATTGGTCCAAAGATTTTTTTCCCTTGGAAGCATTGAAGGGGGAAACGCCTGTTTTTCCTTAGGGTGAGATAAATGCCATTATTGGTCCCGCCACCAGATCCATTTTGCTCCCTGCTTTTTATTATTATTTATTATTTTTTTATTTTCTTTTATTTTTATTCTCATTCCCAACGTGGTTCAAGCTCTCCCTCATCATAATAAATACTTTTTTGGTTTCTATCTTGTATTATTATTTTGTATCATTGTTTTAACTTCATCAAAGCCAAATTAGTTCAGCTAAAAAGTAACACGACATTCATTGACTGTTAGGCGGTACGAAGTTTGCCAGGTAGCTTATAATAAATATAAATATGAAACATATTGGACATTAAATATGAATCATATTAAATTTAAATATGAAATATATTAATTTTAAATATTTCTATATTAATATCAAAATTAGTGAAAAATATTCAATTTTAATACAACCACTCTTGGATAAAAATCAATGGCATAAATATTAAAATCTAAGTGAAATAAACGCCCTAGCGGTGTGGTTAATCTTTTTATATATATAATAGATAAATAAGTTATAAACCAACAAAAAATGTCACAATATGTCATAAGGGCCTAACTATTTTGAATACTTCTTCCAGGGACAGCAAATAATGAATATTTGTTTTCATTTTAAATACAAACATTTTTGACTGATGTATAATAACTTTCATTACCAATATTCATCGTGACGGAAAATGTTTGCATTTTTGCTCAAAAATAAAACTCATGTTGTAATTGCGACTTTTTCTTAGTGTTTAGAGGAGGATATCCAATATATCACCTTGATATACAATAAAAACCACGCGAATAATCTATATACATATGTATGTATATAAAAATGGAGAGATAAAAATGTATAGTGCATCATCACGTGAGAACGGCTGGGCAGATTTTGTTTTACGTTTTATTCAGTTGTTCGTATTTGCCAGAAGAATGCTTCTACGTAAGAATCGATCGCGAAAAAAAGTGATTCTGTATTTGTTTCTTTCATGGAAGAAGGCTAAGAGCCAATTGTCATAGTTGAAGATGAGTTATATTTATTCTTGATTGCCGACTCTGGATCATATCGAATCATTATTATAGCCAGAATGAAGAAATTAATTTGCCGCTGCTACGCTACCCCCTTCTAGCGCTGCAGCACTACGTATTCTCTGAACATTTTTAATTCCGTTTGCATTACCCAGTGAAAATACCTTCCGTAAGATGTGTCGCACAGAAATATGACACTCAGCCCGACGGTACTAGCTGCAGTGAGAGGAACAGGACCTGGACCTGTCCCCTCTCAGAACGTCAGACAAAAGTAAACACGCTCCGCTCTCGCCTCTGACAGTGGGCATGAAAATGTATTGCTTTTGGCCCACACCCTCAGCCGCAGCCAGAGTCGTCCTCCGTCGGCGTCGGCGGGGTCCGACTGCCAGTCGTTGGAGTTTCGGATCCGTGGCGCATTAAATTTTCGAGGCATGGCCATGCATCTCTGACAAAGTTGGAAATGTTGGACAAAGCCGACTCTACATGCAGGAAAAAGAATTACCAAAAATATGAGAGTACAAGAAAATAAATTCCAGTACAAGAAGCTATTCGACTCTTGTAACTCGAAATATATATTTTTAATATGCGCACCTATTTTGTTGAATATGTTTACTTATGAGTCGCAATGAAGCGACGTTGTCTCGTTTCCCTTTTCTCCTTTTGGGTTTTTTAGTTCGGTCTGCCTGTGGCGGGGGTGCTCTTTATTTCTATAGTACAAAATCACAACTAAATACTACAAAGAAAACATTTCATTTCCAGTAAGCACTTTTCACTTTAAACCTTAAAAAAACTTATATACTCTGCCATCTGCTGCGCCTTATTTGGATCCTCCTGGGGCTGAGAAAGTAGAGACACCGAACGGGATCCTACGTATATGGGGTTCGTGTATTTTAGCTCTACTCACATCTCTGGTCTCAAGGAGATTGTTGTGCTCCGTAACCTGAACCGTCAAATAGTTGGTCAACAACTCACTCGTAAACCTTCTGCACATCCTCCACCAAATTGCTCTGCCTCGTCAGCAGTCCCGGATAGGTGCCCAATAGAGTGAGCAGACGGGCCGTGACTAAGCCCCTCTTGCGCCAGTACCAGGTGAGATACACGTAGATGGGACGCAGCATCAGGTGCACCACGATCAGTCCCAGCGCTACTCTTATACCAACAATGTGATAAAGTCATCCAATTATAATCCTTTTTGGCTAAGTTTAAGGTCAAATTATCTCTAAGGAACTAGATTGCAAAACGCAGTTGTTAATTTGAGGACCGAATGTGGTTAAAGTCGGAAATCTTATCATAAAGTAGATGTATCGATCAATTATGAATAATACGAAAAGTAGCTAGATTAGAAATGAAATGTTTTCCTGAGTGACTTTTTCACCTCTGACAGGGTAAACTGCTGCTTAAAGTTGCTATAGGAAACCCAAGAGGATTGTAAATCAGTAGCAGTATGGAACTCTTGTTGATTTTGGCATATGCTGCTTATGCCTGCGATTCTAGTCGACACTATTTAGCAAGGGAATGATATAAAACTGTACAAAGATTTCTTCCTGACCCTCTCCTTGCATCACGAGATGCAGCTCCAGGAGGCCGATGGAATTGGTTTTGATGGCCACCTTGGTGGCCGCCTGCATGGCCTTATTCGCGAGCCGTATTTGCTGGCTTTTATATCTGGCCACCACAGTCTGGCGGCAGTTGAACATCATCATCATGGTGCTGGTTTTGGCCACCTCCACGCTCATCACCGCCTGCATGATGCCAATGGTGGTAATTTTGAAGTGCGGACTATTGGGCGAAGTGATGAACTCGAATTCATCCGCTGACTTATCCAGTTCATGGAAGATCTTGTACAAGTTTGGACCACGAATGAAAATAACGTTCAGATCTGGGCCCTTCAGGTTCATGTCATAGTTGATGGGCTCCTCGCAGTCCATTGTCTTGATGGCGCACTCTGTGCTCACATCTTCATCGTCGTACGGGTACAGAATAATTTGCAGGGACTCGCCCTGGTCCTTGTACATCATTCGGACGCTGCAATCGGCCGAACCAAATACGTTTAGACATTCCGAGAGGACGTTCATTTTCAAGCCAAAGCTTTGAAAGTCCTGCACGTAGAACTCCTTGAAGGCGCCTGGGGGCATAAAGAGAGTGGCTTGGATCGACCTGCCCTGCTCCACCGTGATACGCAGTCCTTCGTCGGAGACTTGAAGCATGCCATACTGTGGGAGAATACAAAATGTAATGCACAAACTATTTGGTGAAAAACTGAGCTTACATCATTGAAGCAAATCGACTTGATGGCGGCGTTGAAGGTCTTCACGTGATCCACGCGACCCACAAATTTGTAGTCACCGTACGACGATGTATTATCCAAATTATCCATTCTAGTCTTGGAAGATGGAGCTGCGCAGCATCCGGAACTCTTTAGCAGCGATTGTCTGCTCAGTTGACTTGCGTCCCGCAGGATTCTGCAGCAATCGATGCAATTTAAGGGCCAAAACGTGCGGGCATGTGTATGAGACTTTGCTACCTGCGCACCAGCCGTCAAGTGTAGTGGTTATTCCACTTGGAAGGTCGTGGTATAGAACTATACCGGGAAGCTGCAGGACATAGCTTTGAAAGAAGTCGCACTTGCAGTAGTTAGTCCCCGGGATCACTCGAAAATAAATCGTTCCTTTTTGGAGTTCCACAAGGCACTGCCTCCGATTGTTTTCAGAATAGTAGTAGGTAAAACTATATGCGTCCAGCAAATGCAGGGATCGCTCCACTAGCTCTTCTCCCAGCAATTGCGAAAGGTCGTAAAACAGCTGCTCTCGGTCCTCTGTAAAAGATAAGTTTTATAATTGAAAATAATTGTGCAGGAAATTTACTTTACCTTTCGTGAGGCTGCAACTGTTGGATTTTACTTGGTAGTTTTCGAAGACTTGTTCAACCAATTGGGGTAAGAAACAGTTTGTAATATTTTCTAAATCGAACGCCATTCAATCGTTTAACATTCCATTTTCATTCAATATCTTAATAAATCAAAAGAGACGAAGCCGCAAAACAAAGCGCCAAAAACATGAGTGTAAACAGCTGTCAGCTGACTGTCCGGCAAAAGTATGGCAGCGCTTAAAATTACTAAGCTGTTATTGAGATGGTCACTCTAGAAATTCTTCAAGAATATGAATATTTGGCGCCATTCAATGGTTTTTTTCGCACCACAAGTCCTACTTGACTTCTAAAGCTACTATGTCCTGCACTTGCCCAGTGGTTGCCCTTCCACCACGAAAATCGACAGAAACTGGCCCCAATCTAATTAGAACCCCCCTGATACAAATGAAATAACTAACGATTTGGTTCAGATTGGAATAATATCTTCGAGATCTGTGAAATAGCCTACATATGCCTATGTATATGTATTAAAGTAGTACATAATCAATTAATTAATAAACCTTATCTATGGTGGATGAATTTGTGGGTTGAGTTTTTCCTTTTGGTGCTCCATTTGAAACATGAAAACTAAGCTAAACCATGTTCTCCTTCCCGTTGACACCGCTGCTCCGACGCTTTCCGTTCTGGATCTTCAGCATTTTGTTCTCGTCCGCGCATTTTGTGGTGATGGCATTGCGGACCTCCTTCTCGCTGGCATTGCATTTGTGGGTGACGGCGAAGATAATGTCCTGGATCTTGGCGGGGTCCAGCATTTGCTTAAGCGGCTTCGGCTGGTCCTTGAAGGCGGGTGAGGGTTTCCCCGTCATGGAGTGGGTGGCCAGGGTCTCGCGGTCGAAGATTGTGACGAGCAGCTTCCGGGTGGCCAAGGAGCAGGCCGCCCAGTTGATGTTCTCAAACACGCTGGCCGGGACACAGGTGTTGTTAGGCCCGAGGGAGATCATAACATTGTCATTGGACTGACCGCTGCTGGTATCGTTGGTTCTGAGCTTCTGTTTCAAGGGCAACTTGCCTTTTGCCTTCGGAGACGAAGTCTCCTGAACCTGGATCTCCTGCAACTTACGCCGCTTGTTGAATTGCAGGGGCTCAAACTCCGGCTGTCTGGATAATTCTCGTTTTATGTCTCTGTTCAGTATTTGGGGCGTGGGATGCGTCTGATGCATCCGATGCTGGTTGTCCGCCCCCATACACATTTCGAGGCGATCAGAGTCGGAAGAGGTGCTCAGGCTGTTCAGGCTCTCTGCTGCCAGGCGAATCTCAATGGCGTCGGCGTCGTCCGATGCCGAAATGATCTTGTAGTCCAGCACCTCGGCCCGCTGCTGCTGGGAGCTCTGAACGGGTGCACAGATCACAGAGCTGGGCGGCGTCAGGATCTGATGGCTTTGATAGGCGGGCGGAGTTGAGGAGGCAGCATCCGACACTCCCAGCGTCTGCTGCATGCGCGCCGAGGTGGCATGGATCTGTGACAGCAGATCCGTGTGCTCCTTCAGCTTGCTCTCCAGGTAGCGCACCTTTTCGCGCAGGACACGGTTCTCGACATCCATATTGGAGTCGATGCTAACGCTGCGCAGCATCTCGAAGTCGTCGCTGGTGGTCTGGGACCAGGCATTCAGCAGCATTGGCGCCTGCTGTCGGTGATACTTTGCCTCGTCGAGCACACTGACAAAGTGGGACCCGTTGGCGCTCACGATGCGTTTGTATTCCTGCAAGGGATCGTCAGAGTGAGCACTGTGGATGCGCTGGTATCCAAATGATGCACTTACGTTCGAATCCATGACTGTCTTTGGTCCCAGTTGAGTCGTGTTCTAGTGTTCTCCTCGCCGGATCAGCTTCAAATGAGCGCATAAGTCGGGGAAAATTGGCGGCAGAATGTCAGGGAACGCTACGCGAAAACCAGACTGCAGGCTCTCGGGGTAGGTTTTAATAAACAATGGATTCCAACTACAGTAAGAGCTACCTGGAGCGCAGAAGACACACACACGCACACGCACACGATGGCAAAACTGCATACATATGTACATGTGCAGGGGCTGTGCTGCGCTTGGTGGTGCTGGAATCTCTCCCTCGTTGTGGCACTTCTTCACTTTCTATTCTCCATATATTGTATTGTATTCTATTTCCCAACTAGCCGGCCCAGCTGTCGCTCCGTCCCTCTCATTCGTGTTATATTTCATACATATGTTTCGCGCGGGAACATTGCTGCGAGCGGCAGAGTTGTCGAGCAGCGCAAATATTTCGCTATATCAGGGATGGAATGAAATTATTCCGCTCAGCATGCAGAAGATATTTAAATTGCAGTTACAGTTGAAATTATAATGAAAGTGTGGTATTCACTATATGTACTATGTGAAATGTGTGCATCCTAATAATACATATTATTTTAGATTTGTGGTTTCCAGCCAGCTTTCCTAAGAAGCAAAATATACAATAGAATTTGGTTTGTAATAAACCGGTTTTGAGGCTCATTGAAATTCATTGGAATCCGAATGCAATGGGACCACTACCAATAAACCACATCACATCCTTTTAGAAAACGAGCGTGCACACACACATTCACTTATATGATCCTCTCTGATAGGAAACACACCCTTAAATTCGACTATTCTGGTATTGGTTCTGGTAAAAACATGAATAATTCGGTCAGGTAGGTGGGATATTCAAGTAATACAGATGTTCAGATATTATTCGCGAAGGCCTTGAACAAAAAAAATACAAAAATATGTTTAAGTAAACTTAGACTTATGCGGCTATGATTTAAATATTTTGAGAATATTTTGTACATAATAGTCCCAATGTTGGTGGAATTCTTTTATAGTGTTTTGTGCATATTTAGATTTATTTTGCCCTCAAAAATTGTTAATTACAGGTGTTATGACATTAGACTTGGCTAATTTGCTGCGAACAAACAGCTCAACTGGAAAGCCAGCTTGACGCATATACTTATCTCGCTCTGACTGCAGGCATTTCCCATGGGGCTTTCTCTATTTTTCCCGCTAGTCAGTTAGCAAAGTCTAATGTCATAACACCATACCCAACCCACGATCCTTAGCCCTAATATTCGCAGAAGGAATGAAGACGCAGATTAGCCAGCCCTAAAAACTGACAGGTAGAGCTGCCATCTGCTGAAAAGGGAATGCCGTTAATCCTCGATCATAAAAACAATTCGGAGCTTAAAAAATTCGCAAATAAATCTAGAAATCCACTGCAGCTGCACATTTGCAAAATCGAAGCAACATTCTTTCTACCTGCTGACGAAATTTCAAGGAATGGCGAACGAGGAGGGATCGAAATATAACCCTACAAATAGCGATGAAAATTACATTTGCATGTCAGTGATTAAGAAGACAGCGTCGCATCCACTTGCCGCAACGCACATTCATCCGCAGACATCTCTTCGATTTCCTATACAGTATTCGCATCCGTATCACCAGTATCTGAGCCAGTTTGCCCCCACGTTTGTGCCATACTACCACCGACTGCTCTCGCGTCCGATTGTGAAGCTGGAGGAAATGGACATTGAGAACTACATCAACTGCGAGGTGGCGGCGCAAAGAACCACACTCATGCGAAAAACAGTGCTCAGGCCTTTGGGCCAACACCAGCCATTGCTGGATACCAAAACGGACCATACCTCCCAGAAGATGGTTTCGAAACAGACCAATGTGATGACAGGGTGTGAGCCCCCTGCTGGTCGTCGCATTGTTAATGCCAAACTGATGGCCATGACCACTGCATGCGGCAGCATACGAAACATGCAGACCTCCATAGAGCCACTGCCTGCCGTCGAGGACTCGTTCAGACAGCAGGTGGGCAAAATCCAGAAGAGCCAGCACCACTATGAGCAGCTGTTCGGCAGGCTCACAACCATGCTGCAGACGCTGAACCAGCGCTACGACAAGGATTGCGAAGAAGTGCCGGCTCCACCCTCAAAGCGACCACGCCACATATCTACCAGCTCGGCCGAGTCCCACCTGCAGGACACCACTGCTGACCACGAGCGGGAGAACCTGGTTGCATACCCGCAACGTGTAAAGAACGGCGACGGCAGTTATGTGTACGTCCTGGGGCCGAACGGCACGGAGATCAGTGCCCATCAGTACGGGGAAGTCTTCTGGACAAGTGCTCCTGTGGCCACCCGCTCGCTGTTGGGTGTTGTCTTCAGCAGCGACGAGTTGGCCACGCACACGCTGACCGGCAAGCCCTCGCCCGCCTTTTATGGGCGCGAGAGACCTCCCAAACTGCAGCTGAACCAGCAAAAGGTGGACGACATTGTGTTGTGCGTCGTGAACCGTACAGGCGGCAAGGAGCGCGTCATTCGAGCCACCATCACCACGAAGTGTGCCGACACGGCCAAGAAGTACAAGCGACGGGCCAAGAAGGCGCTTAAAATCAAAGAGGAACCCTTCTAGCTTATACCTTATGAACAGAAGCTGTTCTAGCTTACAATAAGTAACGAGTGGCTAGATATAATCCAGTCATAATTATGTTTAAATGTAAGGTATTCATTGTGAGAAAATAAAATTATCTCTTCAGCAGAATCTACCGCAAAGACGAAAGTCTCTTCAAGGGAACAACATGCATCTGCATAAGTTAACAAATGTAAATTTATTAACATAATTGCGTCCTTTTGCACTCGAATTTTAATATTACTGTAAAGCTATTGAACTCCTATTGTTTCTTTGCCGAGGGATCCCAGGCCTCCACCTTGGGGGGAGTGGTGGTGTAGGGCATGTAGGCCTCTGCAAGAGACACATTTCAGACGCGAGTTAAAAGGATCTGAATCCGAGCATGCACTTACCCTTGGTGCCCGAGAGGTTCTCGCTGTGGTCCGCAATCCACTTGTATTTGGGTCTGCAGCCATCGCGAATCGGGGGAAGATCCGTCTGCGGGCAGAGTTAAACGAGTAAGGTATGCTATGCGAACAACAAACAGAAGCTATACCTTGTAGTGCATCCATCCGTACCACTCGGCGGGAATCTGGGAGCCATCGTAGTCCATGTTAACATGGGGGGTGTACTCCACCCAGCGGTTGCGGCCGTAAAAGTAGAACGGGTTCTCGAAGTACTTGTTGCCGTACTTGTCGATGCCCACCAGGGTGCCGATCTTCAGATCATCGTTTCTGCAAAAGAAATCCGTGTTGTGTTTGGGAGTTCCTGCAATCTTATATAAGAACAGGGCGCTCACCTATACAGCTTCAGGTAGGTCTGCTTCAGACCTCCACACTCCTGGATGATCTGGAAAAGCTTGGTCAGCCGATTGAGGCCCAGGAACTTTGCCATGCTGTGTGAAAAACTAGTGTTTTAGCAATTTTAATAATTTTGACATTACGAAAACTCACTTGAAACAACAACAAAGTCAATGTACAGTGTGACCAGAGCCGAGAGTTTTGTTCAGCGCTGCACAACACTACGAAATACTAACCAAAATACCAATTTTTGTCTGCGTGTGGCAGCCCTGTCCTTCACATCTGTTCGCCGCTTGTCTTCTTCGTGATTCATTTTCTCAGCAAAGAAAGGGTAAAGAACGAACGTAAAAGATGGCAAAGAACACCTCCAGCAGTGCGTTCCGTAAAATCGATGTGGATCAGTATAACGAGGACAACTTCAGGGAGGACGACGGCGTGGACAGCGCCGCAGCCGGGCCGGACGAGACCGAAATCACAACACTATTGACGCAGGGCAAGGTGGTCGAGGCGCTGCTCAGTGCTCTCCAGAACGCTCCGTTGCGCTGTAAAAACCAGATGGTGAAGGTAAGCACCTGCAAAATCGGCTCGAGCGAATCGTAATCATTGTCTTCGCTTCCAGGACCACGCCCTGAACATCACGCTGCGGGTACTCTTATCAATCAAGTCCACACAAATCGACCAGGCCATTGATACGGTTGACCAGAACGATCTGATTGATGTGCTGATGAAGTACATTTACCGCGGCTTTGAAATACCCTCGGAGGGCTCCAGCGGGCATCTGTTGCAGTGGCACGAGAAGGCATTCGCCAAGGGGGCGTCGGCTGCATAGTCCGTGTTCTTTCCGACACGAACCGCGCCTAAGGGCGCCCGGCAGCAGCAGTAGCAGGAAAACCAAAGGCTCGCACTGGCTTCATTCCCCTATTTATACGACCCAATACACACACACACCCACGTACGTACACGAATACGTCGCGGAGCATTTAATCAACGCAACGTTTAGTCATGACCGGAACGCGGGCAGCAACTGCCGCACCAGCGTATCGCCGTATCACCGTGGACACCCACTATAGGATGTCGTCAAGGAAATGCCACACCTGAGCCTATCTTTCATTTTGCCGCAATACAAATGACGTTTTCCAAATTAGATTTTAACTGGTATTCAAGTATTAAAGATTTTATTATAAAATATGAAAATGCAGAGTAATTGTGGTGGAAAACCTGCCACGCCACTGCTTGGCTTTGGCTTGGCACACCTTCGCATCCCATGTAAACATACGAATAGTTTGAATCAACCTTTTTCTTCTTTTATTAGACTATTCAAAATGTAATAAGTGCTTTGAGTAACCTACGGCTTCTACATTGATGGCCACTGCTTTGAAGCGGGGACAGAGTGGAGTCGCCTGATGAAAGACAAATGCTGGCTGCCTTGGCGTCCGAGGCCGCGGCTGCGTCTTCACTGACGACTCAAAATGCTCGAATAAGAAATGAAAAGCCCACAGAAATGGTGGGTCTGCATGCAATTTGATGATTTTTAAGTGCCTGGGGGAAACATTCAACAAAGGAGGCGTTCGTTCTCTTCAAACGTTGTCTTCAATAAATAGTTTGTATGCTGCATATATGTATTGTTTGTGGGTTATTAAGTCGAAACAGGCTGCAATATCGCGCCCGTACCAGTGTCCACTCGGTGGACACCCTACCACATGTGGGTCTCGCGTATCTCGCTAATGATGTGGTTTGCCCTAGTCAGAGCCTGCAACAAGAACAGAGTGTGTCAAGCGAATCAATAAAAACATATCATATCATGCATGGCGCTCACCTTCAACATGTCTGCCGCCTCTTTTCGGCGCACTGCAATGTGATCGGACTCGTTGAGCAGCGTTTCAGCCCTGTCCGACTTGTACAGATGTGTGACCAGCTCGCTCTGCAGGTTGTCCTTGACGTGGTTAACCAGGAAATGCATAATTGCCTTTGGCACAGAGTCCTGAATGGATTTGCGCACAATGTAGAAATACGATTTGATCAGGCGCTCTAAAAGCAAACAATCAGTAAGTAAATTAGCTTCCAATGCAAAGGCGAATGCGATTGGACAATTACCAATGACGTCGCAATCTTTCTGCTCCTTGTCGGTCAGACGACGGGGATTGTGATTCGCCGGCACATCCGGCAGCAGGTTAACCGGCTTCACTGGGCTGACAAGGTTGTTGTGAACTGGCGTGTTGCTGGCCGAGTTTTCAATGCTGTCCGGACGCGTCGGGGCCGGTGGTAAGATGTTGGACAGCCAACTGCTGGCCATCGAATGGGACGAGTTCTCGCCAACGTGGTTCTAGCATGGGAACGCCAAAAGAGCATAAAAAACATGAATCCCGATTAAATATAAAACAAAAATGGGACAGCACCTGCTCATGGCCATCATGCTGCTGCTGTTGATTATTTTGCTGCGGCTGCTGCTGCTGCTGCTGCGAGGCTGTGGTGTGCGACGAGACCTGTGGCGACATGTGATTGCGCGGAGTATTCGCGCGACGCTGTCCCATGTTCACCTGCGAGTAGGGATCGTTGTCTGTCTTGAGCAGACTCGGTACCAGGGCAGCATCCTTGTGGAAATCTGGATGCTTGGTGTTGATGTACGCCAGCTCGATGGCCACAATGTTCTCCACCATGACATTGGTGGCAGGCAGACGCCGACGCAGCAACTGCGTGACCACATCCACAATCTTCTCGTGCAGCTTTGGGAACCTACAAGACAGGGATCACAGGTCAATCACGGATCACAGTCTCTATTTACTCTATGGTTCGCCTACCGCAACATCTCCTGCTGCACTTCGTTGCCGCAGTGCTGCACAATGCGCTGCATCTCCTCGTGTATCAGTTCGACGCAGCGCAGCGAAGGCTCCTCCAGGCGACGGATCTGCCGCTTCACCAGCAGCTCGAACGAGACTTCCGGCACGAACAGAGCTGGGCGCGGTCCTGTTGCATTGCGAATGGCCGTGAGTATATCCATTTTGCTCAAACCCGCCAGCGGGTGTATGGAGTCCAGGACACGGCCGAAGGTTTCGTGGAAAATGTAGCAGATCCGAGCACCGCCGCACAGCTCGGTGGTCTCAATGTTGCGCGCCGTGCCCTCGATAGTGGCGTTATAGGCGCTGGCAAACTTGGTGATTATCTGCAGCAAGGTCTGGCTCTTGTCAGACACATCCTCGCCGTAGGAGTTCAGCAGCGACTGGAATTGCGTGGACATGATGTTGACGCGTGTCTGTGGAGCATTGGGGAGAGCATTCACTAATCCATTAATGCATTTACTAAGGAAAGGACAGAGGAGTATCCTACCTTCAGATCGGGCAGGCAGTCTCTGATGTGGTGCATCAGCAATCGATTCAGGGTCTTGGCCAGATACGGAGTGCCATTGCGGGTGGCCAGAGTCGGGTACTTCCGCTGCAGGAAGGCTGCCTCGTCCTTCATCTGCTCGTCGATGTGCTTCTGCTCATTGATGTCTTTCTGCGAGCGATTCATCACGCCAATGATGCCCAGCTTGACGGGAATCACACGGCCACAGAGTATGTCTATGGCATCGGTGCCGGCGTCCATCAGATCCAGCTTGGTGACCACGGCCAGGGTGCGTCGGCCGTCGGGGTCCACATCTTTTCCCAGCTTCAGTGCCTCGCTGGTGGCCATGTCCGTGTTGGCCGCCGTCACAGCCAGAATAATGGAGTTGGGGTTCTCAATGTACTTGAGGACCAAGTCTTTGATCTGCGCCTCGATATCCTCCGGCTGGTCGCCCACTGGCACCTTGGTGATGCCCGGCAGGTCCACCAGCGTCAAGTTGACCACCCGCGTGGAGAAGATCTTCAGGTTGATGGGCTCTGGGCAGATGCCCTTGTTGTTGCCCGCCGCCCGCTCCGTCTCGTTCTCGATCTCGCGTCGTATCTCATCAAAGTCCGTGAAGCACTTCTTCGTGTGGAGAAACCGGCCCCACTCCTCAGCATTGGAGGTGCCTGCAAGGGAACTGCTTTAGAGGAGGTCTCGTATAATTTTAGACGGCTATCATGCTCACCATTCTCCGCCGAGCGATTCTCGCGATCGTCCAGGGGGCAGTAAATCAACTGCAGCACAAGGGGCCGGCGGGTGACGATGCCCGTCCCGCGAGGCAGAAACGAGCGTCCCACCACGCTCTCGATAACCGAACTCTTGCCGGAGCTCTGCAATCAGTGGAGTAGAGTTAGAGGATCGGTTAGTGACGGGGCCGATAGCGCGTGCATCAGGGAAGTGTTCCCGACAGATTAGCAGCCGCAATTGTTATCTTGCAGCCGCAATTCAATGGCCAGCTCTGGCTTTGAGAGCTCTCAAGTTTCGTCATCGGCGAATGAATCAAAGTGCAATTAAAGCTGCGATCGAATCATAGACAGGCCATATACATACATACATATGTATGTATAGTGTGCACCAGTACGGTACGCGTATGTTGCGGAATGTGTCACGGCGACAGCTGCTTTGGGGAATGCTGCGGAGTATTGATTTTTCATAGCAGACCCCAAACATAGCCAAAAATGAGAAATTATATAAACGGGTAATTTATTCGTAGGCTGAAGAAACCATGGTGGAGGGAAGGGCGGAGGAAAACACCGTTTGCCGGCAAAAATTAATCCCGTTATATAATCCTGGGGAGGACCGCGAGACACCTAAACATCGTGGGGAAGGGGAAGGAAAAAATTCCCAGCGGAACCCCCGACGCGGTACCGTCCCGGGAAGGCGGTAATTTTGGGACCTGGCGACGTTTCGGGGCCGCTGCTGACGCTGCGCTGCTGCCACCTTACCTGACTCCCGAGTACAACAATTTGCGGCAATTGTATTGAGTCAGAGCCGACTGTATTGAAGACATCTTGCAACTTGTTGATAACTGGAATTAGAGCTTCCATTCTGTTTGCTGAGTGCTGACTGTGGCTTTGATCTCTTTCGACTCGATTATATATTTATTTCACACACATTAAAAAATTGTTGGTTTTTTTTTGGTTGACGCTGTTTTTTTTTTTTGCAAATTGCATTCCAGTATGACCTACCCGTAGACAAATACCAAAATATACCTTATCATTTTCAGAATATACCGTAAATATACTGAGGAAAATATACAACTTAACCCCGCTGTATTCAAATAAGAGAACATTTGGGTTTTTGGCGCACCATTTGTTATTTTTTCGCAATATTTGATACATTTCTAAATATTTAAGATCTTTTTACGCTAAATGAATATTTTACCTATTCGTTTCTGTGTAAAAAATGTATTTTGATGTTAAATGTTAAGTCATTTTCCAACACCGCAAACAGCCGAAATTATGATCACACCCATTTTATTTAACCTTATTTTATGAATAATCAAATAGAAATGATTACTGAAAATAAGCAAATCTTTTAGGAAACTTACCAATTTATCGTAGAAAATTATATGATCGGTGCTGAAGGCTCCAGCTAGCAAGGTATCTTAAGCCGAATATCAAAATCGAGAAATACACACATCAACGCAATCACGTAAGGCAGAAAAAAATTCTCCGCGGAACCAGTACCAGTATCAGCCTAACACGACTCGTATTTATTGCGTTTAATTTTCGGTGAAAACAACAGCAAACTTATTAGGTTTGGATTTTGCTTGTGTTGAAGGTATGTATTTAAAAAGAAAATATGTTCCGTGACCTGTGCATATGCGTTGTAATGTGAATCGGGGGCAGAAGCTTGCGTTGGAGGATCAGCTGTTTATACCCGGTAATCAAAGCGTTTAGGGGTATATTAAAGTCGTGTAGAAGTATGTAACATCCAGAAGGAAGCATTTCCGACAATATAAAGTTTATATTCTTTTGATCAGAATCAAAAGCTGACTCGATATAATCACGTGCGTCTGTCGGTCCGTCTTGTCTGTCGCCCAGTTCTTAAGGGCTATAGAGCAGTTTTTCAGTGCGTACATGAACCATTTGCGAGAGACTCGCAAACGATCTATGCGAACCAAAAGTAATAAGAGACACTCGAAAAGCGAGAAAAAAAAGTATTGCAAAAAACTCGCTAGCGTTGTTCCTTGCGATCCTTTCTACATATATCCTATCTGTAGATAGAAAGAGAAAATAAGAGTGCAGAACTACTATACCTACTATTGTATATTTTACATACATCTGGATAGAATAGGAATGGTTCTCGACCTTCGTGGAGTTCAATTGTTTTGATTCAACTGGATGCGGTCTAATTCATATTTATTTGTTTATGTTTCTAACTACAGAATACTTCTTAGGCACTATGTCCGTTGACAAACGTACAGTTTTCGAGGTATGGTACAGCGAAAAAGTAACTGCCAACAAAGTTTCGGCAGTCGAGGCGTATGTTTTTGCAAATGTCATCGATAAATCAAAATTGAATGACGAAAAGATAGACGCAATTTGCAACCGAATAAGAAATTTCAGCAGAACAGTGGCGAAAAAATGGCAGCAAGTGCATAGGATAAAGGAAAGGTTCACAAAAAAAAACAAGGAATGGTTGGATGGAAAACTTATACTTAGTGATCCAGTTCGATCAGCTAAGGACGTTGCGAAATATAAGGCTATGAAAGTATCCAAGTTAATCAATTCAAATACATACTATGA